TCTAAGTGAAGGCTGTATTTTTCCATGCATAAGTAAGTAGATGGGGGAAGATAACAAAAATGTATTTTTTGGAAGAATAAAGTCCCATGGAGGCAGAAATATCTTCAGATATTTCAAATTGCACCAGTATCTGAACCTCAGTTGCAAGCACTAATGTGGCTTTGTGTGGGAAGCGGAGCTAAGGGGAATGGATGGAAAAGGATGCGTCAAATTGCCATAATTTTTATAGAAATTATTTACTCAGGAGATATGAAAGATATTATTTACCCAGGAGATGAGCTCTGATGGTAAACATTGTATAATTATTTAAGTGTTCTTTTTTTTCCCCGTTTGGTCTCACACTGATGTCTGGAGGAAACATGGTTTTCATACTGATGCAAGGTGGAAATGGAAGTGTACCGATCAGTGACATGAAGGATATTCACATTGTTGTGCAGCGGATCTCTAGAATTTTAAATTCTGCAACACTGGGACTCTATTCACTCTACACCAATTACCATCTCCCCCCGCTGCCCACCACCTATTCCTAGAATCTAGCCACCTTTCTATTTTGTTTCTGTGATTTTGATTACTTTATGTACTTCATATGAATGGAATCATACAGCATTTGTCCTTCTGTGACGGGCTTATGTTTTCATGTAGTGTAATGTCTACGTTCATTCATGATGTAGCGTGTGTCAGTATTTTCTTCTTCGTAAAGGTGGCATAATATTTCATTGTATGTATTTACCACATTTTGCTTATCAACATTCATTCATCCACGGTCCCTTGGGTTGCTTTCACCTCTTGGTAATTGTGAGTAAAGCTGCAGCGAACATGAGAGTGCATATAGCTCATGGGGATCCTGCTTTGAAAGCTTCTGTATACAGACACACAAGTGGTGTTGCGGGATCACATGGTAATTGTTTTTCTTTTCACATGAACGTCTGCAAACTTTTTCCAAGAGTAGCAGGTGCTGCATAAATCCGATTTCTACTGTGTGGGTCCTCCTTTCATTTTCTAATCTCTCTTCCTGAAAAAAAACTGACACAGCATATCTTTACATACTCCTTCAGATTATCTTTCCCTGAAGGATGAATTTTACAGGTATTATCACTGTGACTTCTCTCCTGTTTCCTCAGGAAATGTTCCATGTCCTCAGAGCTCCCAAACACCAGATTTGTTTGATGCGATTTCATTTGTGGGCATGCATCCCTGTGTTCGTAAACACCTTACTCCAAAAGCCTGCTGTTTGCCTAAGCCTTGTTTCTCTCCAGGCCTGAGAAAACAGGGTGGTTACACAGAAAGGTTCCAGAAGAGGAAGAGGCACTGTGCTTGTCATCATCCGCCACTAACCAGGAGTGGGACAGAAATGTGTCTCCACGTTATGGACAGCTTGTCAAGTAGTAGAGTGTTTGCAAACTTTGTTGATGATGACACAGTAAGAAGTGTTCACGTTGTGGCCCGGCACGCATACATGCTGTATGTGTTTGTCTATAAGATGGAGTTTACCTGTGTACTGCACTTTGGTAATTAATATTCCGTTCCCCTCTTTTTTCAGGCTTTTGCTTGTTTTTAGCATTAGGTGCAGCCCACTATGTTGGTGTCCTGCTTGGGTTTGTAGAAATTTGGCAAGTAGCTGTGAAGAGTTTGCTCTCCAGCCCATCTGTTGGAGCTGGAGTTTGACTTTGCCTCTTAGTAGGCAGGTGGCTGTGAGCCATTTAAACAGCCTGTGGTTTGGTTTCCCTGTTCCTAAAATGGGATGATATACCACCAGCTCACATAACCGTCAAGAAGAGTAAATGAGACCAGGTGCAGTGGCTTATGCCTGTATACCCAGCACTTTGGGAGGCCAAGGTGGGCAAATTACTTGAGGTCAGAATTTCGAGACCAGCCTGGCCAACATGGCAAAACCCCACCTCTACTAAAAATACAAAATTAGCCAGATTTTGTAAAAATACAAAACCACCAGGTGTGGTGGTGCACGCCTGTAATTTCAGCTACTTGGGAGGCTGAGGCAGGAGAATCACTTGAACCTGGGGGGTGGAGATTGCAGTGAGCTGAGATGGCACCACCGCACCCCAGCCTGGGTGATAGAGCAAAACTCTGTCTAAAAAAAAAGAGTGAATGAGTGAGTAGATGTGGAGTGCTTAGAAGAGCTCCTGGCATAGTGACTTGTCAGGGCATATTGGCCAATTGTTACCTTGAGCGTGACATTCATTCTTCTTTTCACTTTGTTGTTGTTATCTGGATCCTGCGCGGCTTCTGTCTTCTGCTATTGACTTTCCCAGCGTGGTGAAACGGTGTGTGAAACCCTCCAGCCCCTAAGCTTATTGACTCTGTGGACAGGAGAAGAAGGCCAGAAGTTCAAGTGAGGTCTTGTTAGTGGAGTGACCCCTCATTCCCTTTTGTTTTTTAGGCAGCCTGGAATTCAGAGTTTGAGCACTGAGGGAGGGAGTGACCTAGGCTGGTATGGAGCGCTGCGGTGTGGAGCGCTGCGGTGTGGAGCGCTGCGGTGTGGAGCGCTGCGGTGTGGAGTGGAGCGCTGCGGAGTGGAGCGCTATGGTGGTATGGTTTGGTGTGGTGTGTGATACGTTGTGCAGAGTGGTGTGTGCTGTCTTGTGTGTGCAGTGGTGTGTGTGTGGTGTGGTGTGTGATGTGTGTGTGGAGCAGTGTGTGGTGTGTGTGGAGTGGTGCATGGTACGTGTGGAGCGGTGTGTGATGTATGGAGTGGTGTGTGTGGTATGTGGAGTGGTGTGTGGTGTGTGGTTTGTTGTGGAATTGTGTGTCGTGTGTAGAGTGGTGTGGCATGGTGTGGTATAGTTTGGTGTGTGGTGTGGTTTGTTGTGGAATAGTGTGTCGTGTTGTGTGGAGTGGTGTGTGTAGTGTGTAGAGTGATGTAGCATGGTGTGGTGTGGTGTGGTGGTGTATGATGTGGTCTGGTGTGGAGTGGCGTGGCATGGTGTGTAGTTTGGTGTGTGGAGTGGTGTGTGTGGTGTGCGTGGTGTGTGTTGTGGAGTGGTGCATAGTGTGGTATGGTGTGTGTGGTGTGTTGTGGTTTGGTGTAGAGTGTGTGGTATGTGTGGCATGGTGTGTGGTTTGGTTTGGTGTGGAGTGGTGTATTGTGTGGAGTGTTATGTGTGGTATGGAGTAGAGTGGTGTGTTGTGTAATGTGGTTTGGTGTGAAATGGTGTGTGGTGTGTGTGTACTGGTGTGTGGTATGGTTTGGTGTGGTGTGGTGTGGCTTGGTGTGGAGTATGGTGTGTTTGGCATGGTGTGGCATAGTGTGGAGTGGTGTGGCATGGTGTGTGATGTGGAGTGGTATGGTATGTGGTGTGGTGTGTGATGTGTGTCTGGTGTAGGGGAGTGGTGTGTGATGTGGTTCAGTGTGGAGTGGTGTGTGTGGTGTGGTGTTATGTAGTGTGGTGTGAAGTGGTATATGTTGTGGTATATGGGGTAATGTGGTTTGGTGTGAACTGGTATGTGGTGTGGTTTGGTGTGAAGTGGTATATGGTGTGTGTGGTGGAGTTTGGCATGAAGTGGTATATGGTGTGTATGGTGGAGTTTGGTGTGAAGTGGTATATGGTGTGGTGAGTGGTGTGGTTTGTTGTGAAGTATATGGTGTGATGTGTGGTGTGGTTTGGTGTGAGTGGTATATGGTGTGGTGTGTGGTGTAGTTTGGTGTGAAGTCATATATGGTGTGTGTGGTGTGGTTTGTTGTGAAGTATATGGTGTGGTGTGTGGTGCGGTTTGGTGTGAAGTGGTATATGGTGTGGTTTGGTGTGAAGTGGTGTATGGTGTGTGTGGTGTGGTTTGGTGTGAAGTGGTACATGGTATGTGGTGTGGTTTGGTGTAAGGTGGTATATGGTGTGGTATGTGGTTTGGTGTAAAGTGGTATATGGTGTGGCGTGTGGTATAGTTTGGTGTGAAGTTGTATATGGTGTGTGTGGTGTGGTTTGGTGTGAAGTGGTACATGGTGTGTGGTGTGGTTTGGCGTGAGGTGGTATATGGGGTGGTATATGGTTTGGTGTGAAGTGGTATATGGTGTGGCGTGTGGTGTAGTTTGGTGTGAAGTGGTATATGGTGTGCGTGGTGTGGTTTGGTGTGAAGTGGTACATGGTGTGTGTGGTGTGGTTTGGTATGAGGTGGTATATGGGGTGGTATATGGTTTGGTGTGAAGTGGTATATGGTGTGGTGCGTGGTGTGGTTTGGTGTGAAGTGGTACATGGTGTGCGTGGTGTGGTTTGGTATGAGGTGGTATATGGGGTGGTATATGGTTTGGTGTGAAGTGGTATGTGGTGTGGTGCGTGGTGTGGTTTGGTGTGAAGTGGTACATGGTTTGTGTGGTGTGGTTTGGTGTGAAGTGTGTGGTGTGGTTTGGTGTGAAGTGGTATATGGTATGGCGTGTGGTGTGGTTTGGTGTGAAGTACATGGTGTGTGGTATGGTTTGGTGTGAAGTTGTATATGGTATGGTGTGTGTGGTGTGGTTTGGTGGGAAGTGATATATGGTGTGGTGTGTGGTGTGGTTTGGTGTAAAGTGGTATATGGTGTGGTGTGTGGTGTGGTTTGGTGTGAAGTGGTATATAGCGTGTGTGGTGTGGTTTGGTGTGAAGTGGTATATGGTATGGTGTGTGGTGTGGTTTGGTGTGGAATGGTGTGTGGTGCTATGTGAAATTGGTGATTAGCCCTCTGGGTGCCTGGAGCCTCTGCTGTCAGGCAAGAGGAAGTGAGGCCTAGCTGGGTCCTTTTCTGGAGGAGCAGCGTTTCCTGGGCTGGAGCTGAGCTGGACTTGTTTGCGTTTGTTCAGGATGGAGGCAGTGGTGGGGAGCTGATCTCTAGGACAGCCTGTTATTTTTCAGCAGCAGACATGGAAGGATCCAGCCCGAGTGCTGGACTCCAGCTTCTTCCCTGACAGAAGCGCTGGGTTGGGGAGGGCGGCCCCATCCTTGGTTTCCATCACATCTGGCTGTCAGGCTGCAGTGTTGGTTTGGGTGTTTCATGCGTATTTATCTTCCTTGCAGGCGGTTTTGGTGAATAACATCACCACAGGTGAGAGGCTCATCCGAGTGCTGCAAGGTAAGTTTGCTCCTCTCCTCCATGCCAGACACTGGCCTTTTAGGAGGAAGCTCCCTTTCTCTCATTCTTCTCTAGGTCCACGTGGGTCTACATTATAATCTCATGGTGGATAATCTCATGTCATGAGTCACTGAACAATCTTTATTCTTTTTGCCTAACTCTGTCTCCTTAAGAGACTTTTCCTTTTAAAAAAATATTGCCGAATACATTGCAAGCTGTTAGTTACAGAAGAGTTCAGAATGTCATTCATGAATGTGTTAAGAAATAGTACTTATGATAGATACATGCTCTGTTATATATACACATGGCATATATGTGACCTGTTAATTGGGTCATGCTGAATTTAGATTTTGTTCATGAAACTTAGAAAAACTGTCCAGCCTGATTTAATTGCCCTTCTTTCCTATTCTCAACTTGGCAGCTGGGGATTGGTTTTCCTTTGGGTCCTTCTGAAGCAGCCAACAGGAAATGGTGTGCTGTCCTTTGTGTGGGGGGACTCCTTCTTCCACTGTGACAGGAGGGGTCAGCAGGGTCCATGCTGTTGGGCTAAATAATCTGTTGAGTTGAATAATTTTTACTCTAAAAATGTGGTTACTGGGAAATGAAAAATTTCCTATACAACTTGCATTATAGTTCTGTTGGTCTGTGCTGGATCGGAATTCTAGTTCTAAGTCAGGTTCTAAGAATATTAAAAAGTCTTATGCGAAAAGGGGCCACTTTGTGAAATGTGTTTGGGGGAAACATAGGGTTACACGAAGTCGAAGAGGCTGCCTGGCTGTGGGGTGGGGGTGGTGGTCTCAGAGCTTGTGATCTGTTGCTGAGCTGTGGCTGCAGCCTTTCCTCTCCCTACTCTCGGAAAGCAGCTTTAATTGTGCCTATCTGACATTTGGTAAACCCCACATAAAGGTTCAGTTTGACAGCAGTTTTGATAGAGCGTATGTGTCAACTCCCACATACAATTTGTTCCCTGTGTTTAGAGTCAACACAGGGAACAAATTAATCCCAAAAGTTTGCTTGGGCACCGTGGTGATCCCCCTTCTTCAGGCAGCCTCTGGTCTGCCATGTAGACTAGTTTGCGTTTTTAATAGTTGGGTGCATGCGTACGGATGGAATTAGACCGTCTATACTGTTTTTTGCCTGGCTTCTCTCACTCAACATAGTTATTTGTGATTCATTCATGTCATTGTGATACAAGTCATTCATTTTTTTTCTTTTTTGAGACAGGGTCTTACTCTGTTGCCCAGGCTGGAGTGCAGTGGCGCGATCTCGGCTCACTGCAACCTCTGCCTCCCAGGTTCAAGCAATTCTCCTGCGTTAGCCTCCCAAGTAGCTGGGATTACAGACACTTGCTACGTTGCCCAGCTAATTTTTGTATTTTTAGTAGAGATGGGGTTTCACTATGTTGGTCAGGCTGGTCTTGAACTCCTAACCTTGTGATCTGCCCACCTCAGCCTCCCAAAGTGATGGGATTACAGGCATGAGCCACCACACCTGGCATTGTTTATTTCTTTGTTGACTTGTGTTCTGTTGTCTCATGCTTAGTTGGATTGTGGAGTGTTTTCAATTAAGCATATTAAAGTATCATTTATATACAAGAATGTTTACCCCTCGTGGGTACAGTCGGATAAGTCCTGACAAATAATCTCACGGATCACCACCACAGTCAACATGGCATGTGCCCACCGCTCGAGGACCCCACGCCCATGCCCTGGGAAGTCAACAGTCCCCTCCCTCTCTGGGCCCAGCACCCACCCAGCTGTTCTCTTCACCACAGTTTTGTCTCTTGAGGGTGTCACATGCATGCTTTTGGGATGAGTCCATGTTATTCACGGAAGCCTTCTGCTTTATTTCAGTTTCTCTTCCACCTGGGACTATTGTAGGTCTAATGTTGTGAAGGCACACCTTGGGGATGCTGGCATCTGTCCCGGCCTGTCTGTCTGGCTGTGTCTGGGTTCAGCTGCTGCTGCCACCCACTCTGGTATCCCCTGGTGGCTGCCCTCCCCTCCATGCCAGCTTGGCCCTTTGTCTACCAGGGCTCTTTTATATGCCAAGTCATCAGGGCAGCAGGGATGGGGCTGATTAATTTTGTTAAAGAAAGCTACAGTTTCCCTAATGAGAGTGTTGGGTGGTTAAATGGGCACAGGGCCTTGGAGAGTGGCTTGGCTGTGAATAAATGACCAGAGGGAGGATGCTGGCAGGCAGCCTGGTGGCTGAGGGCAGAGAGTCCGGCAGGAGTGGCTGCTTATCTGACCAAACATCAAAAATCAGTGTTTTACAGATGGAAGGATTAGTTGGCCGGGGATGAGGGCAGGATGGTACGTGTGACCTTTGGGGACAGCTTGGGGCTTATGATGTCTGCGAAAGAGACAGGCACATAGAAGCTTCCATGTATGTTAAGGGCTGGAGGCAAAAAAGATTTAAGAGAGACATTTGGAAAAGGATCAAGATGCAGGTTCTTTTGGGTTGATGCTCTTCCAGAGCACTTTCCACAGCTGGGATAGTGACTCTGTGGAGGGGCTGTGTTTTCAGCTTTTTCTCTGTCCTCTCCTTCGTCCCATTCTGTCCTTGTCCTTTATGTTCTGATGTTTGAGTCTGCCTCTGTTGTCTTTTGGCTAAATGGCATGACAGCTGTGCCTGTTACCTGTGCAATTCCTTGTCCCCTTGGTGTAGACCAGCTAAAGACCCTGCAGAGGAATTACGGCAGGCTGCAGCAGGATGTCCTCCAGTTTCAGAAGAACCAGACCAACCTAGAGAGGAAGTTCTCCTACGACCTGTAAGTGCACCTCAAGAGTGTGTACCACCAGTGCAGGGTGCATGCCACCTGGGAGGCGGGGGGTTAAGCTGAGGGCGGCAGATGGAGATGTAACCTCTGATCGAGCATGCACCTTCTGCTCCATCCAGGACTCTCAGAAAGGCACGGGCCTCTCTAGGATTCATGTCCTACACAAATGCACAAGACCAGTTCTCAGTAGGAAATGAATTACTCAGCATGCCTTAAAATGTAACATGAAACTCTGTAAAGCACAGGTGTACTGGTTAAGTCAACAACATAAAGCTTTTAAAAATGGGTTCCATAGTTGCTCACATGTAAGCAAAATAAAATTTGTTGACTAAAAGACATTTTAACTAAAGAAGACATTCTGGCAAAATATTGATATATTTTTATTAGTTTATTGCCTGTTGATCATTGTGGGAATTTTGTTTTCTTTGGACTTTTCAGTGGTTTTCCAAATTTTTACAGTGAGAGTGGAGTACTTTTATAATCAAATTGAAGCAATACTAAACTATTAAAAAGTGAGCTAAACACTGTGGGAAGATAGTAAAAACCAGTTTACAAGTTTTTCCCCCTTTTTTTTCTCATAAAACAGTAAGTTTGGGATTCAGAAAGAACCAGCCACCCACAGCCCGACTCTTGTGACTGTCCTTTCCTCTTGGACTTAACTCTCTCCAGTCCATGCCCAGGTTCACACGAATAATTTACTTAACTGCAGTCATCATCAACACATTTTAATCATTTTTTAATTTACTTGCAGTGTGTGTGTGTGTGTATTATTTCTTTTTTTTCTTTTAAGACAGAGTTTTGCTCTGTTGCCTAGGCTAGAGTACAGTGGCACAGTCTCAGCTCACTGCAACCTCCACCTCCTGGGTTCAAGCATTCTCATGCCTCAGCCTCCTGAATAGCTGGAACTACAGGTGCCCACCACCACGCCTGGCTAATTTTTGTATTTTTTTAAGTAGAGATGGAGTTTCACCTTGCTGGTCAGGCTGGTCTCAAACACCTGACCTTGGGTGATCAGGTGGTATCTTTTAAAAATTACCATTTTGAAAAAAATAATTACCATTTTGGATTATTTCATTCTGTAAGGCTCACCTGTAGTTTAGCTTGTTGCTGGGCGTGAATTGTCAGACTGCATTCTGAAAGGATTTGAGCCATCTGCATGGTTACCAGCAACCTGGGAGAATCAGTTGCCTCACATGCATTGAGTTCTTGGGGATTTCCACGTTCTTCCAAAATATTGTTCACCTGCCCATAATATCTTCCTACTAACTTTATAACCACATACAACTGAAACCATGAAGCCCCAAGTACCTGTCTCTATAGAGGACATGAGCAACTAGTCAATAGAAGGGAAATGTGGCTAGGTGCAGTGGCTCACACCTGTAATCCCAGCACTTTGGGAGGCCAGGGTGGACGGATCATGAGGTCAGGAGTTTGAGATCAGCCTGGCCAACATAGTGAAACCCTATCTCTATTAAAAGTACAAAAAGTTAGCCAGCTGTGGTGGTGGGTGCCTGTAATCCTAGCTACTCAGGAGGCTGAGGCAGGAGAATTGCTTGAATCTGGGAGGCAGAGGTTGCAGTGAGCCGAGATTATGACACTGCACTCCAGCCCGGGCGACAGAGTGAGACTCCATCTCAAAAAGAAGGGAAATGTGATTGTCACCCATATGTGTGGAACTTTATTCAGCTATGCCAGTGGTTCTTGAGTAGGGGCACTCTTATGCCCAGCAGGCCTTTGGCAATGTTTGGAGACATTTTTGTCTGTCATGGCTTACAGGGAGGCTGCTACTGGCATCTAGTGGGGAGAGGCCAGCAACACTACTAAATATTCTATAATCCACTGGACAGCTTCCCATAGCCAGGTTTTGTCTGGCCTAAAACATACACAGTGCTAAGGTTGAGAAACCTTGAATTAGGCTGATAATCAAAGAATTGCATCTAAACAGAAATGAAGTACCTCAGTCTTTTTTTTTTTTTTTGAGACCGAGTTTCGCTCTTGTTGCCCAGGCCAGAGTGCAATGGTGTGATCTCAGCTCACTACAGCCTCTGCCTTCAAGCGATTATCCTGCCTCAGCCTCTCTAGTAGCTGGGACTACAGGCATGCGCCAGCACACCCAGCTAATTTTGTATTTTTAATGGAGACAGGGTTTCTCCACGTTGGTCATGCAGTTTTCAAACTCCCGATCTCAGGTGATCTGCCCACCTCAGCTTCCCAAAATGCTGGGATTACAGGCATGAGCCACTGCGGCTGGCCAGAAGTATCTTGGTCGTCTTATTCATCGTTAAAGACACCTTAATGCACATATTTCCCTCACATAGATTGAAACATTTTAAAAAGCCATAAATGGCCTCACTAGATAAATGTTGGCCCAGAAAGTTTTGACCTAGGTGGAAATCAGTCGGCCCAGTGACAGGGAAGGAATCTCTGTTCCCCATGTAGGAGAGCTTGGGCCAAGGCAATGGGTGAACACCTTTAACCTGGGCTGGAGATGCATGTAGGGCGCCCTCCTTTTTTTTTGAGTGAAGTCTTGTTCTGTAGCCCAGGCTGGAGTGCAGTGGTGTGATCTTGGCTCACCACAACCTCTGCCTCCTGGGTTCAAGTGATTCTTTTGCCTCAGCCTCCCAAGTAGCTGGGATTGTGCCTACCACTGCACCCAGCTATGTTTTTTGTATTTTTAGTAGAAACGGGGTTTCACTATGTTGGCCAGGCTGGTCTTGAACTCCTGACCTCAGGTAATCACCCACCTTGGTCTCCCAAAGTGCTGGGATTACAGGTGTGAGCCACTGTGCCTGATCAGACGCACTCCTTTTGCTCCTGGTGGGTTGATACCTAGATTGAAAGCTCTTTCAGGCTGGCTGTGTCTATTTCACTACCTGTGCCCAAGGCCCTGTGCTAGATATGCTTCCTGGGGGTAATGTTCATGGAATGTTGGAAGCAAAAAAGAGCTAGGTATTTTTAACTTTCTTTGGATTATAGGCCCTTTTAGAGAATCTGATAAAAAGTACAAACACTTTGTTAGCAAATTTATAAATGGACCCCTGCCTAAAGTTGTGCAATTTGTGCGAATTCTTAGGGTGCCTGAAACATAACTGCACACCCTCCATTAAAACATCCTGTCTGGTCCAGTCCTTCTATGGAAGGCAGTGCCAAGAACACAAAAGCCAATGGAAAGGCCAGGTTTCCTGATATACAAGGTACTTCTTTCCTTGAAGTCAGCTAGCACACATTGCACTTCTTACTCTCCTACACCTGTGGCAGGCGTCACCGAGCAATCACTGTGCTCCATCCAAAAATGGAGCACCTAGAGTCAGCACATGAGATGAACAGCTCACTATCTAATCTCTCTGCTGTGAGGAAACAGTTTCCAGTGTTGATACCAGAATATAATACTGTGATGGTCGGTGCCCTGGATGATGGGATCCCCTGCACTGATAGATCCTTGTGTCGAACACATTTCATCAATGGTACTCTGACCATCCATTGTACCAGTTATAGTAATCACTTGTGACCCAAGTCCTGTATTTCTCTCCAATTTAGTCCCAGTTAATGCTGGAATATTTGCCACTTGCATGTAAGAAAAAGCCAAGCTGAGGCCTCAGGAAGAAACACTGTCACAATCTACATGACCTGTGTCTCAGAATTGAGGACAGAGGTAGTTCAGCTCCTGGCTGTCAAGATGAAATGTGGAAAGCCACACTTCATCTGCAAGCCTGCGAGATAAAGGCTCTTTGTACTTTGTTTTAGCAGGGCTGGGAGCAGGTGCAACCAGTACTATCCTTTTGCAGCTTTAAAGGTCCAGGATAGCAAATGACCTGCTGGTTTAGTTCTGCACTATCGGATAACTCTCTTTTTGTTTGCTGTGTTTAAGCTCCTGTGCACTAGTCTACCACCTGTGGCTTGTATGTTTGTGCAAATTGTATTTAAATGAAATTTCCACCTGCTCTCTCAGCTGTCCAAGGTCAGGAACTCTGCTGCACTGCATTATTTCCACAGCACCTGGTACCCTTCTGTGTGTGTGTGGTACATTATGACCCTGTGGTGCTTTGAACTAAAAGGGTGTATTTCGAGAGTCAGAGATTGAATGTGATACTCACATTTGGCTCTGAAATGCCTGCGACTCAGAAAAGGTGAGCTGAGCTGTGAGCTGTGTGGTGGAGAGGACATAATGGTAAGGAGCCCTGGAGTCTGGCTTCAGCCTGTCTGTGACCCTGGCCCATGGCAGACAACTGTGTCACCCCTTAGCATTCTTATTTGCAAAACGAGTATTCTCTTAATTACTTCATAACTCTTGTCGAAATACTCTTAAAATAAATTCTAGTCAGAAAGCTGAAGCAATGCCTGAAAGTCTGTTCCAACAGCAATTCAACCAAGTGTCCTCCAGTTCAGTTAAAGTTTTCACACTACCCACTTGGCACAGACCCCCGAGGTTAAGGGGCTCCATCTCACACAACTGCTCCCACCTCCGATGCCAGCCACAAGTCCAACGTGTCCCCCAGCCACCCTCACTTCTGCCTGGCTGGCTACAACTTTAGGGTTACCCACCGCCCCCTCAGGTTTGATAATTTGCCAGAATGACTGTCACGGAATTTAGGAGCGCTGTATTTACTTTTACGGAACAGCCCAGTGGTACAGTCCTAAGGTGAGGGCTGGCAATGTGGGGGACATGGGAACTGCTGTCCCGTGGAGTCAGCTGCTCCCATCCCCTGCATCGTTATGTTCCCCAGCCAGAAATCTCTGCAAACCTTGTGGTCTGGAGTTTGAGGGCTTTTTTTAATTGTTTTTTTTTGGGATGGAGTCTCTAGCTGTCGCCAGGCTGGCATGTAATGGTGCCATCTCGGCTCACTGCAACCTCCGCCACCCGGGTTCAGGTGATTCTCCTGCCTCAGCCTCTCAAGTAGCTGGGACTACAGGCACGCACCACCATGCTCATCTAATTTTTTAGTAGAGACGATTTCATCATGTTGGTCATGATGGTCTCGATCTCTTGACCTCATGATCTGCCTGACTCAGCCTCCCAAAGTGCTGGGATTACAGGCATGAGGCACTGTACAGGTACCCGGCCAAGTTTTTTATATAGGCATGATGGATGAAACCATCAGCCATGGGGATGAACTCAATCTCCAGTCCTTCTCTCCTCCGTAGAGGAGGTGGAGCTGAAAGTTCCAACTTTCCAGTCACATGGTTGGTTCTTCTGGCAGTCAGTCTCTGTCCTGAAACTATCAGACACCCATCCTTCCCCCACCCCTGACAATCCCCTCATTAGTATAAACTCAAGTCTGGTCCAGAGGGGCTTGTTATGAATAGCTAGATACTGTCTCACTCAGGAACTTCCAAGGGTTTTAAGAGTTCTGTGCTGGTAGTCAAGGACAAAGACCAATACATATATTTTTTATTCTGCAGATTGTATGTTAAAAAACTTTTTTTTTCCTAATCAGTAAAGTTCAGTGTTTCAGAACAATGGTATCATTTTTAATGTGTTTCTTTTGGTCATTCAATCATTGAACACACACATGTCGCCCTGTCTTAAGTGCCATCTTCAGATGAAGTGCCTGAAGCAGGAAGAGGGTCTGTGTCTCTTATGGAAGTGGATGTCACCGTCCAGCAGAGACACAGCCGTAGACATCAGGCCTTTCCTTTGCTTTCTTTCACCAAAGGAGCCAATGCATCAATCAGATGAAGGAGGTGAAGGAACAGTGTGAGGAGCGAATAGAAGAGGTCACCAAAAAGGGGAACGAAGCTGTAGCTTCCAGAGACCTGAGTGAAAACAATGACCAGAGTCAGCAGGTAACTGGGGAATTTCTGCCAAGAGTTTCTAGAAGGTACCTCTGTCTTCAGGCATTTTGTTTTTTTAATCTGCTGTCTGGCTTTCTCTGGTCTCTGACCTCCCTTGTGGACTTGGCTCCCTGAGATACAACAGAGCAGAACCTGGTCCTGGGATGCCTGGACCCTAACCAAGTGTGCTGGCCTCCAGCCCTACTTTCAAGCTCAGGGCTTTACAGGAATTATCCTATTTCAAGTTCATAGCCAGCCTGGGAGAGAGTTGCTGTTTTCCTGATTTGAGGACCCCAGGCCCATGGGAGGGGTTAAGTTCTGTGGCCAGCATCACACCTGGTCAGTGGTAGAGCCCATCAGGACCTCAGGTCTGGCCGATCCATGCCTCGTGCTGTCAGCCCGTCTCCCCTGCAGAGCACAGCCCACGAAAACTGCTGCCGGAAGCCTTCTGCATGATCTTTGGTTGGTTTTTAAAAAACATAGCAGCTTCATTAAGATATAATTCACATTCCCTGTGATTCACCCATAGAAAATTTACAATTCATGGGTTCTGGGTATAGTCACAAAGTTATGCAGCCATCACCACACTCAATTTCAGAACATTTTTATTGCCACAAAAGAAACCCTGTATCCATTGGTTCTCTTTTATTTATCTTCAGTCCCCACAGCCCTAGATTGCCAACTCCTAATTTACTTTGTGTCTCTTGATTTGCCTGATCTGGACAATTTCCTGTCAATGGAATCATAGATGTGTAGCCTTTTGTGTGTGGTTGCCTTTTTTTTTTTTTTGAGAGGGCATCCCGATCTATTGGCCCGGCTAGAGTGCAGTGGCACAGTCTTGGCCCACTGCAACCTCCTCCTCCCAGGTTCAAGCAATTCTGCCTCAGCCTCCTGAGTAGCTGGGATTACAGGCACCCACCACCCCGCCCAGCTAATTTTTGTATTTTTAGTGGAGGTGGGGTTTAGCCATGTTGGCCAGTCTGGTCTTGAACTCCCGATCTCAAGTGATCTGCCTGCCTCAGCCTCCTGATGTGCTGGGATTACAGGTGTGAGCCCCCGCACCCAGCCTGTCTGGCTTCTTTGGCTGAGTATAAATGCTTCAGGGCTCATCTAGGTTGCAGCATGTGTCCGTGTTGCATTTCCTTTTGTGGCTGATTAATCCATTCTGTGGATAGACCACATGTGGTTTATTCATTGTCAGTTGATGGGCATTTGGATTGTTTCCACATTTTGACTATTATGAATAATGCCATATGAACACGAAGTTTTTGTGTGGTTATATGTTTCATTTCTTTTGGGTAATACCTAGGAGTGGAACTGCTGGGTCATATGGTCATCTGTATTTAACCTATTGAGAAACTCCCAGACTTCTTCCAAAGTGGCCATACCATTTTACACTCCTGCCAGTAGTTTATGAGGGTTCCAGTTTCTTCACAGCCTTGCCAACTCTTGATACTACCTTTTCATGACATACTTACTAGCAGGTGTGGAGTAGTAGCTCATTGTTGTTTGGGTTTGCATTTCCCTAATAACTTATGATATTGAGCATCTTTTCACATGCTTCATTGGCCATTTGTTTATCATCTTTGGAGAAATGTCTATTCAGGTCCTTTGCTCACTTTTTAATTGAGCTGTTACTGAGTTCAAAGAGTTTTAAAAAATATATTGTACTAAAAATATATGATAATGGATATATGATTTGCAAGGGTTTTTTTCACCCCCCAGTTCTGTGGGTTTTTTCACTTTCTTGATGGTGTTTAGTTGAGGCACAAAAGTTCTTAATTTTGACCAGGCACGGTGGCTCATGCCTATAATCCCAGCACTTTGGGAGACTGAGGCAGGTGTTATCACCCAAGATTGGGAGTTTGAGACCAGCCTGATCAACATGGAGAAACCCCATCTCTACTAAAAATTTAAAATTAGCCCAGTGTGGATGTAACCCAAGCTACTTGGGAGGCTGAGACAGTAGAATTGCTTGAACCTAGGAGGTGGAGGTTGCAGTGAGCTGACATTGTGCTGTTGCACTCCAGCCTGGGCAACAAGAGTGAAATTTCATCTCAAAAAAAAAGTTCTAATTTTGACAAAATCCATTTTAATTATTTTTTCTTTTGTTGTGTGTTCTTGGTGTTATGTTTAGAACACTTTGCCTGACCCAAGATCATGAAGATTTACTGTTACATTTTCTTCTCAGAGTTTTATCATCTTAGTTCTTAGAGATGATGGTTCTTAGTTCTTAGATCATTTAGGCCTATGATTCATTTTCAGTTAATTTAATTCTTGCATATGGTGTGAGGTAGAGCTCCCGCTTCATTCGTGTGTGTGTGTGTGAGTATATCAAATTATCTCAGTATTACTTATTGAAAGGAAGACTGTTTTTTCCCCACTGAATCATCTTGGCACCTTTGTCAAAAATCATTGTGCTGTAAGTTTGAGAGTTTTTAGTGAGCCTGAGTCCCTTGGCTGTGAATATCCCCTGTGCTTCTCAGTAGCCATTCCCTTACCCCAGTGGGACAGAGTGGCTGGAATGGGCTAGAATTGTATAGCTTCCTTCTCCCGCATGGAAGCCTAGAGTTTATTGGAATTGGGTGTTTCATTCCCCCAGGTCAGCTAGGCTTGGATACCGGCAGGGGAGCTCTGGGTAATGTGCTCCTCCTGAGGGCAGGCCTGGTGAAGGAGAATGGAGCACTCTGGCCTGTTTTCCCCTTCCACTGCTGGAAGCACAAGCCAATTTTTCTCTGATATTTACTGAGAGCCTGATTGAGCTCCTACAGGTAAAACTTGTAAGTATGGGAGCCCCTTATGACTGGGGAAGGTTTTTAACACTCAGACTCATCACACTGAGCCTCAAGCAGTTCATAAATGGCAAGTCGGGCTCCACGCCCATACCAGTTCCCACAGTGATGTCTGCCTGAACCTGTCCTGGTGAGCTGGGGCTCACTGTATTGGGCTCTCTGTCTCCAGGCTTAGGGACAGTGATTTACACTCTGTCCTCATCTCTCCTATGGATCCCAGAAGGGCTGGTAACTTTTCAATCTGTTTAGCTTTTTACTTGTTGTTAGAACCAAGTGGTGACTTCTAAGTCCTCACACGAAGACTTACATCCACACTGGGCTAATTTTAAATTTTTAGTAGAGATGGGGTTTCTCCATGTTGGTCAGTCGTCACACGAAGAACTGAAAACTGGAAGTTTTCTGTCTAATACAGATGCTTGAAGGTGTACATTTTCTTCTAAACACTGCTGGAGCTGCTTCCCCTAAGTTTTGGCTTGTGGTGGTTTTGTTTTAATTTGTGTCAAAGCATTTTCTAATTTGCATTGTGATTTATTGTTGGGCTCACTGGTTATTTAGAAGTGTGTTGTTTTATTTCCAAATATTTGCGAATGTCACAAGTGTCATGCTGTTACTGATTTATAGTCCCTTCCATTGCTATTAGAGAATTTACTTTGTGTGACTTTAGTTACTAAGTGTGTGGAGACTGCCTTTGTGGCCCGCCATGGTCCATCCTGGAGAATATTCCGTGTGCTTTTGCCGTTTCTGGGCCGAGGCTTCTGCAGACGTCCCTGCAGTTGAGGAGCGCTGTGTCGCTCATGGCTGCTGCTTGGTTGTTGTTGATCTTCCGCTGAGGTATTTTATATTCTTAAATGCGTCCTCTCAGCAGAATCACTGCTCCGTTTTAATCCATACTGACAGTACTTTCTGGGAGACCCTGACTCAACCTCTTGTCTTCTGATTTATGCCACATGACCAGGGCGTGACCAGAGTAGACAGTGGCGTTTCTCAGGGTCTTGGTCGGAAGGACGCGGTAGTGGGATTGGCGGGCTTCATTGCATTGGTGGGATTCTTGTAAGGCTTCTGCTCACAGAGCCCCACCCTGGCTGTCCTGTGCTTCTGTTTCAGCTCCACGACCTCAGCAAGCCTCAGCCCAGGCTGCAGGCGGCAGGCCTGCCACGCACAGAGGTGCCACAAGGGAAAGGAAAGATGCCCAGCAACAGCAAGTCCCAGACACCAGCCCCCAGTTCCGAAGTGGCTGTGGATTCCAAGAGACAAGCTGAGAAAGGTAAGCAGAGCCTGGCAGTTGCCCTGCTCCCCGCTCTCCAGAGCCCAGTCAGAGGAAGTGGTCCAAGCAAGCTGCTGAGGGAATGGGTGAACCTGGCAGCTGGGCAGCCAGGAGCAGGGCGATGTCTCTCTGGGCACCTGGAATTGGGGCCTTGGGGCTTCTTCCGTCTTACCTTGCCTTCTTGCAAACTAAGTGCTGTGCTCTTGGGCATCTGTGTAGAGAAAGGCCCAGGCTACATCTTTATGCAGGACATTGCTAGGCCTGTGGGATGTGGGGGAGGCAGCTGAGCCCTAGACGCAGAACCAGGAGGTTGCTGTGTCCATGACAGGCACCAGGTGGGCCTGCCTGCCCTGGCTCCCAAGTGCTTGTCTCACAACGATCAGGTCACTCAGCAGGACACCCTTTTTCCTTTGTAGTTTGAGATAATTTGGTGCATGGTTTTTAAGCTACTTTTCCCTTCATTGCAGTTCCAATGGTGAGCTGCAGGCACAGAGAGGCCTACAGTTGGTGTCTGAGGTCACAAAAGGAGCTACCTGGTGGTTCTCCTGTGTGCAGCCCACCCCACTGTCACTCATCTGGGAATTGAGTGGCACAAGGTTTTGCTTTTTTTTTTAATCAAATGTTGGCAAGGTCACAGCTAACTGTTCTGTGCACAGAGGAAGCCAATGAGATCCAGGTGGTGAGTGAGGAAGAGCCTCAGAGGGACAGGCTGCAGCTGCCGCAGGAGCCAGGCCGGGAGCAGGTGGCAGAAGACAGACCTGTGGGCAGAAGAGGCTTCGGGGGAACCAGAGAACTGGGCCAGACCCCACAGGTGGCAGCTGCCCTGTCGGTGAGCCAGGAAAATCAGGAGGCTGAGGGCCCTGAGCGAGACCAGCTTGTCATCCCCGATGGACAGGAGGAGGAGCAGGAAGCTGCCGAGGAAGGTGGGTTTGAGGCTTCGGGGGCTGCTGTGGACTCATTTCCACCAGACACTCAGCCACCTCCATCTCCTTCCCAGCACCAGGGATCACCCTGAATTTTACTAAACAGCAGTCAATGATTTGCCAGTTCCTTTTTGTCTGAAGGTTTCTTACTTGTTATCAAGAGGGAGGCAGGAAGGAAGAGCAGCATATGCTCCAGAACTCGAGGTTTTAGATGCAATATTGATGAGGAGCCATGGGGACCTTGCAGGTGGGTGACCTGGAGATGGGTCCCTAGCACCAAGTGGACGTCCCCTCCTGGCAGGCAGGCCATGTGCCTGATCTTTGTATCTCCACTGTCGTCTGCTGCTGTTTAGACAATCGGTGCCTAGTGAATGAATGACTGAAGGAAGGAAGGAATATTGGGTAGACGAAGGTTAATGCGTATTTGAACATTGAAGAAAAATGACATGTGAATCACTCCTTTTTGTTTGGTTGACTTTTTTTCTTTTTAAAGACATAAAGGGTAGGAATCTGAGATCAACAGACTATTCCGGGATTCAGACCCTTCAGATGTGGAAAATGTCCTTCCCACCTGAGCCAGGAACACTTCTGAGGACATGACACCTGCGCTCTGGGGTGGACCAAGAGACAGAAGTTGGAGAATGTATTTATTTGCAGAAGTTACCCCGATTCCATTTAAACTTAAATTTCACTTCAGTGTCTTTCTGAAGAACATGTCCTCCCAAGTTCCAGTTAAAGAATTGCATTTTGTTAGCCCTCCCTAAGCATCCCTGCTGGGTCCCTGTGTTCCATGCCTGCCCAGCAGGAAGCTGCTCATAGTGTGTGAGGCGGGGAGATCCCACCGGCTGGCTCAGCCTGTGGCGCTCAAACATCAGAGTCCTCAGCGGCTGTCTGTGAAGCGTAACAAATTTGGGCCTGAGATGCTGCAGCACCTGTGGGATGCACCTGCTTCTAGCTGCAGGTGTAGTGAGCTCATTTGAAGAACGGTGTCCAGGCCATGCAGGCGTTTTGCAGTTTCCACCCCAGGCAGTGAGCCAGAGAAATAGAACCAGAGCTGCTTTTCCAGGTGTGAACTTTTAAAACAGATTTGCTTTACTGGCCTGCATACACATGTAAAATGTGTAGCTTAAACCCTTTGAGTAGGTCTCTTGAAAGCCTTTTGTCCTCATCTTTTCTGATTGCTGCCCCTCTCCAGGGATGAATAGTGTGGGTGCTCTCGTGCTATAAATATGAGGGACAGTTTCTCCCTGGGCTCACAGTGGCAGCTCCATTTCCTCTCTCCATTCTAAGGAGATGCTGTCATTAACTATAGATAACTGTTCCTTCCTAAAACAGTAGCACCTTTCTTTTACCTTTTAAAGAGTTATCTCTTTAAAAAAATGGAGACTTGGGTGTTAGCTAGTTTCTCCATGTTCAGCTTCGAATGCACCTTTTATTGAGGGCCATGTTGTCTCTAGATTCAGAGGCCAAGCAGAGTACACGTAGTGCATGCGTTTGTCTTGGAAGCCAGTGCATGTGTCCCTGCCATTTCCGGAGAGGCAGCACACGGATCTGACTGTGAGCAAGGATGGATAACCTCCAGCACCTGCGCGCGGATATTCCTGTGACATCAACAGAGAAATGATGTAGCTTACGTTTTATGTGCTAATTTTACAGGGAGAAACCAGCAAAAACTGAGAGCAGAAGATGACTACAACATGGATGAAAATGAGGCAGAATCTGAAACAGACAAGCAGGCAGCCCTGGCAGGGAATGACAGAAACATAGATGGTAACAGTGGTGCCCGGGTCGGTGGGGAAGTCACCTTTCATTTCCCCTTTCTGGTCCTTTGCTGTGATTATTCAGTGAATCCTCAAATAGTATCGTAATTAATGGATCACTTCAGGGAGACCATCTTTTCTTCAGGAGACTTTGAAAGCTGGGGCAGTGGAGGGAGGTGAGGGTTGAGAAGCCCACGGTGATGACATCTATTCAGAAACTCTGAATAGAGTTCCTAGAAATATATTCAGTGTGGCTCAAGCCTTTAAGTAGGATGATTTTTCAGTGACATTTCGGGATTTCCCGACAAAATGGCTAGGTCACTACTAGATTAGTCTGCCTCCCAGATGAAAAGCCCCAGTATGTGCATAGAGCTTCCAAGCAGCTATTATAGCTGCCCTTTGTATTATTATTTTGAATTTTTGAAGAGTCCAGGCCAGTATCTTGTAGAACATATCAAACTCTGGCCTTGTCTGTTTGCTTGTGATGGATTCAGGCTGATGGATTCTTGCTTTCCCCCAGGAGGATAACAGCAGGTGGTCCTACTGGTACTTGATTCCTTAGCTGATGTGGTGCCCATGAGGTCTCAGAAGGCCATTTTCCTTTGGACATTAATATGTCATCTAGAAGAGGATGCTTTGAATTTGTGTGGCTTTACCATCCATTGATGAACATTGCCCATCAATGGCTAGTAAACGTTTTACATTCTGACATCCCAGCACATTTATTACTTGACATTTTTTAAGGAACTCCTCTCCATCCTCCAACACACTTGTTTGTTTTGGTATCACTATGGAATCAGAGTATTCTTTGTTAAAATTCATTTTCCTGGGCTGGGTGTGGTGGCTCATGCCCATAAACAGAGCACTTTGGGTGGCCAAGGTGGGCAGATTATGCGGTCAGGAGATAAAGACCATTCTGGTTAACGTGGTGAAACCTCGTCCCTACTAACAATACAAAAAATTAGCTGGGTGTGGTGGCACACACCTGTAGTCCCAGCTACTCCGGAGACTGAGGCAGGAGAGTCGGAGGTTGCAGTGAGCTGAGATTGCGCCATTGCACTCCAGCCTGGGTGACAGAGCAAGACTCTGTCTCAAAACAAAACAAAATTCATTTTTCTATTAGATTCTTGGTATTTTCTTTCTCAGTTTTTGAGAGCTGTTTATATATTAAGAAGATTGCCTTTTATCTGTGATGTAAGTTGCAAATACTTTCTCCCATCTTATCTTGGTTTTGCCCAGGTGTAGCCATGCAAAATTTTCAAGCATTTTTATCCTTTCTTTTATTGCTTCTGGATTCTGAGTCACAGTTAGAGCAAGGCTTGCCCATCTAGGTTTGGAAAAAAATTCATCCATGCTTTCATCCAGTATTTTAATTTTGTATGCGTTCCAATTTTATAAAGTAAAACACAGGCCAGGCACAGTGGCTCATGCCTGTAATCCCAGCACTTTGGGTGGCCAAGGTGGGCAGGTCACCTGAGGTTAGGTGTTTTAGACCAGCCTCGCCAACATGTTGAAACCCTGAGTCTACTAAAAATACAAAAAATTAGCTGGGGTATGGTGATGTGCACCTGTAGTCCCAGCTACTGGGAAGGCAGAGGCAGGAGAATCATTTGAACCTGGGAGGCAGAGGTTGCAGTGAGCAGAGATTGTACCACTGCACTCCAGCCTGGGCGACAGAGTGAGACTCCATCTCTAAATAAATAAAGAACTAAATAAAGTAAAACACAGATTCAGAAAACATGTGAAACAATGAGTTTCACTAAGGTGAACACCTTGTAACTGCCGCCTCCTTACTAGCAGAACATGGCTGGCCCTTCTCTATGCCCTTTCCATGTCTCCCTGTTCCAGTCAGCTTGCTCCTTCCCCCAGTAGTAACCACCATCCTCACCTTCATAATAGGCATTTTCTCACATTTCTTTATGGATTTATCACCCAAGTGATATTCGGTGACATCACAGTTTATTCTTGGCAATTTTCTTAAATTTTGATATATCTGTAAGTCTCTGTTAATCTATAGATTTCTCTTCCATTCCTTTCTCGCCTTTGCAGTATGTCAAAGAGCCCAAGCCAGCCAGGTGCGGTGGGTCACGCCTGTAATCCCAGCACTTTGGGAGGCTGAGGTGGGTGGATCACCTGAGGTGAGGAGTTTGAGACCAGCCTGGCCAACATGGTCAAACCCCATCTCTACTAAAAATACAGAAGTTAGTCGGGGGTGGTGGTGGGCACCTGTAATCCCAGCTACTCAGGAGGCTGAGGCAGGAGAATTGCTTGTACCCAGGAGGCGGAGGTTGCAGTGAGCCGAGATTGTGCTATTGCCCTCCAGCATGGGCAACAGAGTGAGACTCTGTCTCAAAAACAAAGAACAAAAAAAACCAAGCCGTGTGACCTGTAGTTTCCCACAGCCTAAATATTGCTGATTATAGAGTCATGGGGCAGATTATCGAGGTCTCCTGGCCTCTGTGTTCTGCAGAGTGGCAGCTAGGCCCAGAGGCTTGATGAGACTCAGGTCCAGGTGCAAGCCCTTGGTAAGATGATCGGTGGTGGTGTGTGTTTTCTTTGGGAAGCACATCATAACTGATGGCTTTCTTTTTGTGATGCCAGTTGATGCTCAGTGCCTGTATCAATTCATTTCTATGTCATTTGTTAATTGGAATGTTCTTAGAAATAGACACTTAAGCCAGGCATGGTGGTGCACAACTGTAACCCAACACTTTGCGAGGCTGAGGCGTGTGGATCACCTGAGGTCAGGAGTTCAAGACCAGCCTAACATCATGAAACCCCATTTCTACTAAATACGAAAAAATTAGCCGGCATGGTGGCGTATGCCTGTAATCCCAGCTACTTGGGAGGCTGAGGCAGGAGAATCACTTGAACTTGGAGGCAGAGGTTGCAGTGAGCTGAGATCGCACACTCCAGCCTAGGCAACAAGAGCAAAAGTCCGTCTCAAAAAGACCCTTCAGTGGTATTGTTTGTATAAGGTAGATAGGATAAATGCTTGATTTTTTTCCTTTTAATAGTTTTCATGATTATGAATTGTTTCCCCGTCCTCCTCTGAGGGTGACTACATTTAAAATATCATCATAAACTTCAGAATTCAGCAGAAATCCTCGACAGCAGGAGTTGTTACCTTCACTTCAGTTTCTGCCTTGCCAATGCTTTCTTTTATTACCATCTGGGTAATGCGTTATTTTTTTATTATTATTACTATTTTTGAGACAGAGTCTTGCTCTGTCACCTTGGCTGGAGTGCAGTGGCATGATCTCAGTTCACTGCAGCCTCCGCCTCTCAGGTTCAAGCGGTTCTCTGCCTCAGCCTCCCGAGTAGCTGGGATTATAGGCGCCTGCCACCATGCCCGGCTAATTTTAGTAGAGATGGGGTTTCACCATGTTGGCCAGGCTGGTCTTGAACTCCTGACCTTGTAATCCACTCGCCTTAGCCTCCCAAAGTGCTGGGATTACAGGCGTGAGCCACCGCACCTGCCATGCATTATTCTTAATGTTTTAATATTTACATTTTTTAACCTTTTTATTTTGAAATAATTTAGATTTTTTTAAAAAGCAAAAAATTTCCCTATACCCTTCACCCAGGTTCACTAAATGTTAACATCTTATATAACCAAGTAAAATTACCAAAATAAGGAAATTAACATTGATGCAATGCTATTATCTAATCTGTAGACTTTGCTCAACTTAGTGAGTTGAACTGATTTTTTTTTTCTGGCCCAGGATTATTATACATTGCATTTATTGTTGGACCTCTTTAGTGTTCTTTATGGTGGAGATGTTTCTATCTTTATCATTCATATCTTTATCATTCATGTTGTTGGTCTTTTTTGAAGGACAGTGGCCCAGTTATTTGGTTGAAAGTCCCTCAATTTGTGCTTGTCTGATTCTTCAACAGTGTGCTCTTAAAAATTACATTTATCCAGGATGTCAGTTGTTTCTTTTGGCAGAGTTGTTTGGAATTTTTAGAATGCAAGTCCTAATTTGAATTTTCAGCTGTCTTCATTTAGGCAATTTTTTAAAGAAGGTAAATGGTGAATACAGCCAGACTTTTAAGCAAATACAGTTTCTTTCTGTTCTGTGTATGTCATTGACTCTGTTCATTTGTGTACTTCAGTTCTTGAGATGTTTCACAGTCTGGTCACTGTCTTACCTCTAACAACTTTTTTTTTTTTTTTGAGACAGTTTCGCTCTTTTTTCCCAGACTGGAGTGTAATGGCACGATCTCAGCTGACTGCAGCCTCTCCCTCCTGGGTTAAAGTGATTCTCCTGCCTCAGCTTCCCAAATAGCTGGAAGCTGTGATTACAAGCTCGTGCCACATGCCCAGCTAATTTTCTATTTTTAGTAGAGACAGAGTTTCACTATGTTGGCCAGGCTGGTCTTGAACTCCTTATCTCGGGCAACCCACCCACCTCGGCCTCCCAAAGTACTGGCATTACAGGCCTGAGCTGGGATTAGTGTCATACTAAATGCTTGGCTTTGTGTTGAAGGCTTTTTCGATCTCTCATCCCCTACACTCTTGTGTCCTAAGGACTTGACTTTGTGTAAGATTTTAAACAAAGTAGGTAGGTAAGGGAAAGAAGGTAAGTGCCTTGTCAGCTTTTTGAAGAAATGTCGTTAACATCAGCTTCTACATTATTTTAGATTGTGTCACTGAAATAGTTTTAGACCTTACTTGCTTCAGGGAAATAAGGAGAAAAAGACATTAGCTTCAACTTTATTAGAGCCTTTAACAGATACTATTAGTTTAAATAAGGCAATTATTTAATGAATAGTCATTAAATTGCCATTTAATATTCCATAGTTATAAATCAAGACCGTGGTTTTAGGTTTTATTTGTGAAGTGTCTTTTTATGTTTTTTTTTTTTTTGTGTGTGTATGTTAAAGGATAGAGTAAGGCCAGATGGTAGAAGCCACATAGACTTCAGCTCTGTAAAGTGGGAGAGCTTTGGAGTCCCAAGAGCTGTCTGAAGCTGTGGACGGCTCTCAGGAGGCAGCGTGTGCACCAGAAGTGCAGTAGGAAGGGAATCACACCGCACAGGAGGGTGATTATCTAAAATTTCATAAGTGCACTTTATATTGTCCATTTTCTATGGCATATGGGGCATTATGTCACTGTTTTAACAAGTATAGAATCTTTAGGTCCCTCGGCTTTAATGGCACATGGTTGGACATGTATTCAGTCCCTTTGAAATGGGAGGAGTTCCTTTATGCCTCTCAGAAGGCATGCAGTAGGGGTGTGGCTTGCTTCTTCAGTGCCCTGCAGCTCAGTCCCCTAGGGGAGCATGGGTTCCGACCCCACAGTAGCATCTAGGGTTGAGTGTTTACAGCTCCTGAATCCCCAGTGGGTGTGTGTTAGTGTGCTCTTTCAGCTTAGCTGTCCACAGGCAGCTTGTGTTAATCAGCTTACTTAGATCCTCTGCCTTATTGCAAGGACAGAGGGCTTTCTGTATCCCGGGTTCTTGCCCTAGTGTACTGGAAAAATCAGACCACGTGAGCTTGGAAAATGAATGCAAGATTTATTGAGTGGTGAAAGTAGCTGTGAGCAGATGGGTGGGGAGGGAGAAGAGGGATGGAGTGGGAAGGGTCTTTCCCAGGAGTCAGGCTGCTCAACAGACAGGCTTTCCTCCTACTGTCCTTGGTCAAATTTCCCTTGGTTTCTGCGTCATTCTGCCGTCAATTCCCTGCTGGTGTCTGTCGATGTGCTCTTCTGTCAGTGTGTTCCTCTCAACGCCCAGCCATTTGTATGTGTGCCCGCTGGGGTCCTGGTTTTTATAGGCACAGAATGGGGGGGGGGGGGAGGGGAATGGCAGGCCAGTGTCGTCTTGGAAAATGCAACATTTGGTCATGAAGACAGGCTTGAGGGTGGAGCCCATGCCAGGGACCCTGCCCTTCGATACCCAGCACTTCCCTGCCTCCCTCTCATATCACCTTTGCCATCTCATCCTTGATGAGGAATGCAATTCTCAATTACAGTGTTCCTGTGGGAGATACAGTCCTCTTTATGACACAATTTCTAGAAATTAATGCAAAATGGGACCTGCCTAGGCTGGTAATTCAAAATGTTTAATCCTAGAATATTACGTTTGTGTTTTTTTTTTTCTTTTTAGTTTTTAATGAAGATCAGAAAAGAGACACCATAAATTTACTTGATCAGCATGAAAAGCGAAATCATACGCTCTGAATTGAATTGGAATCACGTATTTCACATCAGGACTGAAGAGATGACTACAAAATGTTCATGAGGGACTGAACACTTAAAACTGTGAAATAGTACTAAAATGTACATCTAAAGATGATTATTGTGAAATTTTAGTATGTACTTTGTGTAGGACAAATGGAATGGTCTTTTAAACAGCTTTTGGGGGGTACTTCTGAAGTGTCTAATAAGATGTAACAATTTTTGATAATAGGTATTTTATGAGAAGATCAACACCAAAAATGGAACATAGTTCTTCAAGTGTTGGCGACAGTAGGGCTTCCTGATTCTGGAATGTAACTTTGTGGAAATTAACAGCCACGTATAGGAAGAGTCCATCTGCTGTGAAGGAGAGACACAGAACTCTGTCTGAGTTAACCTCTGGCATCGTCCCGTCCACATGCTGTGCTGAGTGCTGGTGCCAGCCTGTTATCTGTTCTCACTTAGAGACTGACTGGCTTATGCTCTTGTGCAGTCAGTTCAGATGCTGACAATCAATGGCTTCGAGCACTGACTGTTAACACAAATGTCAGTAGCAAACTAGCAACAGCTTTAAGTCTAAATACAAAGCTGTTTCGTGAGAATTTTTTAAAACATTACTTGTATAATAACCCTTGTCATTTTTAATGTGCAAAACACTACTAAGCCGGCTTACAATTTGAAATTTGTGGTCTGTATTTACTTTTTGCTTCATGTATGTGGGCAAAGCAACATCTCTAAATATATTACCAAGAAAAGCAAGGAGCAGATTAGACTTGAAAAAACAGATGAAAAGCCGGCTGACCTGGAGCAGAGCATAGTGAGAGGCCAGAGGCACGGCACGAGAGGGCAAGTTTGTTGTGGACAGATCCATGCCTACTTTATTACTGGAGTCAAAGAAAACGAAGTTCATTGATGTTGAAAGGATATATACAGTGTTAGAAATTGGAACTGTTTAGAAAAACATGAGAAATGCAATGGTTTTTGTCAGTGTACACATTTAGCTTGTGGTAAATGACTCACAAAACTGATTTTAAAATCAAGTTAATGTAAATTTTGAGAATGACTAATTCCTTATTCACAGTAACAATGGCATTAAGGTTTGACTTGAGTTGGTTCTTAGGATTTATGGTAAATATGCTCTTACCACTTGCAAATAAGCTGGCCTTGTCATTAATGACTGACTTTCAGTAAGGCTCTCTAAGGGGTAAGTGGGAGGATCCACAGGATTTGAGATGCTGAGGCCTAAGAGATCCTTTGATCTAACCCTCTTATTTTCAGAGGGGAAAATGGGGCCTAAGGTGTGCTGGCATCCCTGGCCTCACACTCCCAAGTAGCTGGGACTATAGGCACAAAGTCACTGAAGCAGGCCCTGTTTGCAATTCATGTCGTCACCTCCAGCTTGAACATTCTTCATGTGTATGTCCTTTTAACCCAGTCACTAAGGTTAAACTTTCCCACCCAGAAAAGGCAACTTCTTAGATAAAATCTTACTTTCATACCCTTCTAGGTCCTTTTCCAACCTCACTTTGAGTTCCTCTTGGGGTTGATAGGAATTCTCTCTTGCTTTCTCAATAAAGTCTCTATTCATCTCATGTTTAATTTGTATGCATAGAATTGCTAAGAAATAAAACATCCTGTTCAACTTTTAAAACTTGCACAGCTCTCATTTTGCTTTTCCCCTTCATCGATTAAAGAATCTACCCTCAAACTGTGGAATAAGGATGGCAGCTTGCCTTAAACCTCCTGTGGAATGAGATGGGCTGTTGGTACAATGTCTTCAACCCACAGGGCCCCGAAAGCCATATGCTTAGCACATGTGCATGCTGCATGCTTCCTCCAGGCGCTCATACCCCCAGCTGCCTTTGGGATCACCGCAGATTCAGCCAACAATGGAGAGGGCTGTGGGCTGTTTCAATAAAATAAAACAGTCACCTGTGCAACAGCATCAAGTAGATTTCAAACCTTGATCTTTTGGTTTCATCCAAAGTTAATAGCTATTCTTTAGTAGGTTTTTTTTTTTTTTAAACTTCACTTTCCACACTACACCGATAGATAGAATGCTTAATCAGTGTGAACTCTACTAATCTGCACCTTCCTCTGTACACTCAAATGGTGTGGGCAAGAATGATGGGGTTATTCATTTGATCTTTTTTCAGGCAAACAGAACTGTATCAGGAGATTACTGAAGCAACCTCAGATGTCGTGAGTAGTCACTGCACATACTTAATATGCTTTTTTGTGTTGTGAAAGTTGAGAAACCATTACCTGTTAAGTCGGTATGCTATATAATCAGATTAATAACCAGCATGTTTTGCTGTAAAGTGTAATAACTGATTATCCAGTCACAGAACCTGGAGTGGTAGGAGAGAATTGTGAATCCAGGGTCATTAGGGCCTAGGGATTGGCCTGCTTTCACTATGTATTTGGCCTAAAAGATTATAGTTTATGGGACACTGAACAACTTCTAACATTTGTCTTTGAAATGAATTTTTGAAAAACTGTAAGAAGCTTTCATTAATTGGATTATTAATTTTTTTCCCCACAAAGTTATTAGCTTAGACTTTAAAGTATTAGTGTCAGAAGGTTGGGGAAACAGCTTATTTTTACATGCTGGTTACATAAACATGCCTCTAAATATTTGTGTGTGTGCCACTTCTTGGTTCAGATAACAAACTTCCTTAAAGTGAACTGAACCACTGTCCCTTAAAAACTAGTTGATAAAATTCTGATAATGTATTATAGACTGAAGTAGACGTCTTCCCAGGCACTTAAAAACAACTAAACTAAAATGCTCCTGTCCTGTGGGTGCACCTGTGAAACATCTCTGGTAAAGTTAAACGTCTTAATGTTCTCATATTTATATACTTATATGTATTATATATACATTTCAGGTGATGCACCTTCTTTCTATAAACCAAGGCTCTAACCATTTGAAACAAATGCTTTTTTTTTTTTTTTTCTTAAATCCTTTCTCCTTTATAATAAAATTAGGTGTTTTAAGCTAGAAAAGAAATCCTGAGTGGCATAGACCCATAGACTGTACCTTGCTTATATTGCTTTATACCCTACAATAACCCTAATACTGTGATATGCGGTCCTAGATAACAGATAACCCAATTATCCACATAACTGAAGTTTTGCCTTTTAGAACCTTCTTAGATTTAGATGAACAAATTCCTTTTAAAAAATAAATGCTAAATATGAAATTAACCCTACTTAGCCTTAAAAGGTAAGTCAGAGTCGGCTGGGCGTGGTGGCTTATGCCTATAATCCCAGCACTTTGGGAGGCTGAGGCATGCGGATCATGAGGTCAGGAGATCAGGACCATGCGGGCCAATATGGTGAAACCCAGTCTCTACAAAAAAATTAGCTGGGCATGGCAGCACATGCCTGTAGTTCCAGCTACTTGGGAGGCTGAGGCAGGAGAATTGCTTGAACCCAGGAGGCGGAGATTGCAGTGAGCCAAGACTGCAACACTGCACTACAGCCTGAGCGACAGTGCGAGACTCCGTCTCAAAAAAAAGAAAAAAAAGGTCAGTCTTCGTGAAAAAGTTCCTGATGTATGCTTAATGTTTCCTTCTTTGAGATGGAGTCTCAGTCGCCAGGCTAGACAGCAGTGGTGTGATCTCAGCTCACTGCAACCTCTGCCTCCCTGGTTCAAGCAATTCTCCTGCCTCAGTCTCCTGAGTGTGGGACTACAGGTGTGTGTCACCATGCCCCGCTTATTTTGGTATTTTTAGTAGAGACGGGGTTTCACCATGTTGGCCAGGATGGTCTTGATCTCTTAACCTTGTGATCTGCCTGCCTCGGCCTCCCAAAGTGCTGGGATTACAGGCATCAGCCACTGCGCCAGGCCTCTTTTTTGTTTTTAATTAGCCTCTTTTGAAGCTATAGGGAAGTATGACAACAATGGCACCTCCACGGTGATGTATCATGTCCACCTTTAACCAGAATGAAAACATTTGCCCTAAGTATTTTAACTTACTCTCCAAAAAAAGCTGTATTAGCATTTTTTGATATTAGCTGAATATCATTTAAGAGAGTAGTTCTGTGAACTCAACCAATAGTCTACAACTGCCTATAGTTTCCTGTAAAGAACAATCTTGTCTAACAGTTTCTTTGCACTCGTTTTTTGAGAAGAGCTCATTCAAAGTTAATTCTAGAAGTCAACAGGTGACATGTCTTTGATCAAAGCACCACACTTTCCATTAAGCTCGGCTTAATGCCTGAAATTTAAGCAGAAGTAAGAGGTAATCTATCTTCATCTTTGCAGAAGATTTAGAGAATCAGAGAGCTATTCCATAATAACTTCATGTGAGTCTCCAAAATTTGATACTAAAGGCTTGAGGGTATTAGGGAGGCAATGTGGCTGCAGCCCAAGGGGCCGAACAGAGGGGGCAGAAACAAAGTAGGAGAGGCCAAACTGGCATTCAGGGTAAAGACTAGGTCATCAAAGAACAGTGGATTTTAAGTAGAGTTGTCAAGTGACCATGCTTGCACGTTACGATCTTTTAAGATCATACGAGCCTCTCTAAGAATAGAGTGGGGAAGTCAAGTCTTCAAGCCCACTTGAGTCACTGTCTCTTTTTCCTCACCCCATGGTCTATACTTTAACTGACTTTCCAACTTCTGCCCCACCCCTTCCAGAAAGAGCTCTCGCCAGTCACCAGCAATCTTTACTTGCCAAATTCAGTGGGCTCTTTTCAGTACTCCTCTTAATGGCCTGTTAGTTGCATGAGGCCCTGCATTCTGCTTATTTCCCTGGTAAGTCTCCTTTGCAGGCTTTTTCCAGTGCCCAGAGCATAGCCACAGAGGAATTAGGGAAACAGCCACCTCTCCTAAACTTTTCCAAACAGGGTGCGCTTTGACTACTTAAGGCAATATATTGTCTTAGTGTCTTGTGCAAACAAAACAGTGAAACAGGCAGAGACACTTATCAAACAATGGCCTGGTATGATTTTGCGGTACTCTTCCCTGCAGCCTGTGCCTCCCCATTCTCTGGCCCTCCCAAGTCTGTTCCTTGGTACTCATCACAGACCCTTACTCTAGGAGCTTCCTGAGCAACGGCAACCCCCAAAAATTACAGTGACTGTAGTCACTCAGTCCTCAGTTCATCTCCACCCGGGATGGCACCTCCTAGTTTGAGACCAAACTACCTGCCATCTTCACAAGGATGTCCCAAAGATATCTCAATGTACAAAGCAATCTATCCGAAACCTGGTCTCCTACCTTGCCTAGATGGGCAAGTGGCACCCCCACCATCTAGTTGCCAAAGTCAAAAAATTTTCTGAAAACTCATCCTTGATCCCGCAGAAATTCTCTCATTTACCATCCATTAGCTGTACCTCTGAAAACTTTTGATTCCATCCACTTTCTTCCACCTGCTCTGCCACTATCTTTTGTTAAGACCAACACTCTCTCTCACATGACTGGTTCTCTGCCTCCCTTTTGAACCATTCTCAAACAAGCAGATCTGATTTGATGCCCATCATTTCCCTGCAACAAAAGCCTTTAGTGGTATCTACCAGCATCAGAATAAAGTCCAAAATCTTTAAGCTGGCCTCCCAGGTTTTTGGGCATCAGCTTCTCCTTGTCTCTCAGGTTCATCTCTTCCATCCTTTTCCTGCTCTATACTTCAGCCAGGCTGCCACCCTCTCCCCTGCAAGCCTATGCACATTCTGTCTAGGACCCTTTACTAACTATGTCTCTTGAATAAATGAGATGGGGATTTGTCCCATGAAGTTTCATGTGAGCAGTTCTCCTACTCAGCATACTGCATATTCTTCACTGCATTTTCAATACCTGTTTGCTTTTCTGTATTTGTCGTAAGATTATAAAAGCTCTATGATAGGAGACTGTCTTATTTCTATTGTTTTTCAGTAAATACTGTGAATGGTAGATTACTTTAAAAATTATAAAATGCCAACTATTTCTAATTAGAAATGTGCTGTTTAAAAACAAACAAAAACTAGCCAGGCAGGCATGTGCCTACAATCCCAGCTACTCTGGGGGCTGAGGCAGGAGGACTGCTTCAGCCCACAGGTTTGGGTCTAGTTTGGGCAACATAGTGAAACTCCATCTCTAAACAAACTAAAAAGCAAAAATTAAAGTTATTTAAAGGAAAACACATGATTCTGTCAGTAACAGACACTAATAAATCTTTTAGTTGATAGATTAGAAGGAAAACTTTTACTTAGGAAGACTAACTTCAAAATAACCTAGCTGCTTCTCTTATCCCAGCAGACCCAATTAGACATAGTGGTTAAAAAGTGCCCCCTCTTAATTGAAAGTGATCCCATCATCTAGCAGGGCCCTTGTTGCATTAATCTATATTCCTTTTTTTTTCCCTTTTAAGGAGGACATATATTTTATGTGTTGTATCTTTATCTTGGCCACTGGAAAGGCAAGAATAATTTCTCAGCTTTCTAACTTGCTTCAGGCTCTCTTCTTGGTTGTTTCCATGTCCATTCTCATTCTGTTTTCCTCTTTGCTTTTTCTTTTGATTCTTTTGTTTCTTGTCTTGCCTATTTCCTACCCATTCCTTTGCCTTTTTTTATTTAAAGCATTCAGTAATTACCAGCCAGAAACAGTGTTTTCATTCTCAACCAAGTAACTGAATCAGCAACAGATATACCCTTTCTCTCTCCATAATTCAAGTTTCTATTGTACAGGCTACTTAAAAAAAAAATTTTTTTTTAAGACTTCTGGGTTCTACAATTTCAGGATGCCTAATGGCTGTTCCTGAATAACACAAGTATTACCACTCTTGGAAAGGAGAGCCAGGCTACCTCATTAGCTGCTAAGCGGGGCGACAGGCACATTCTTAGCAAGATCAGTCAGGTTAGCTGCTTTAAAGTATTTCCAGAAAAGTTTCACTATTGTGTTTTTACGAAAGGTATCAAATCAGAGTTAAGATATTTGAAGCTGAAAACGCTTTTAACCATAGACCAAATATAAAACCATCACTAGTCTTAGGCCAAGCCACTAAAGCCAATTTAAGCCACAGAGTAGCTCATTTTGAAAGAGTATTGCCTGCTACAGAGGACAAAAAGGCAGGCTCAAGAGGCCTGGACAGTTGCCATCACAAACATGAAAGCGAGACAGAATGAACAGGAAAGGAAGGGGAGGGCTTCGGGCACCAGGCACTTGAAAGCACAGGGGAATGTAGTCAGTTTTTCAAAGCCAGAGGATACTGAACAGACCCCCCTCCATGAAAATGTTTCATGGGTTAAACAATATGAAGTAAACAAAAAGGAGTACACCACATTTAAACCTAGACCTAAATTTTAATCTATATACATTTCTATCTGCCTCCTTTTTGAATAATGTCACCAACAAACATAATGTATAATCTTTTAAAAGTGCCAAAAGTAACAGGTAAAGGATTTTTTTACACATCTGTATTCTTACAGATATATAATTTGTGATGTCATGACATATAAAATCACAATTCTCATGTAATTTAGCTTCTGTTTATATCTTAGAGGCCCTCCCAAAAATCCCTTCTAAAGGTATTTTACCAAAATCTCATACAAGTGTTTAATCCCTTGATTTGAAAATTCCTTTTGGATAATGTTTTTGGAAACAGCATACACCTTCTTTAGTTCTTAGTATGGACAAAGAGCTAATAATGTTTTTCATCTCCAGCAGTGCATTTTTTTTTTGGTCAAGAAATTTATTAACCTTTACAAACACTATTTTCACTCAATCATTCATAAAAAATGATTTGTGATTAAATCTGTAATAAAACCATATAACGTTCATCAATGCATTCAATAAAACTAGTTTCTTCCATGGAACATAATAAACCACTTTAAAACAGCAGTTTTCATTCACATCATATAAGGCTGTCAAACTAAAAGTATTCCTTATAATGAGTTGTTATCTAAGAAATCCATCTCACTTCCCATGATGTGGAGCCTGGTACATGTGCCCTCTAAGAGTGGGGTCTGAAAGTAGACTCTGCCCTTTTATGGCCACCTTCCCAGTCTCTCTCAAACAAGTTTCACAACAGGAAAATATTTATGAGCAGAGAAATCAAATTCAGGAGGAACCTGTTAAAGAAAGCCAGAAAGTCAACGAATGTATCTACAAATATTCATATGGTACACAAAACAGACTATTTTTGAGTTTCTTGTGTTTTTTAGAAACAAAGCAGCACAAAATAGATTTTTTCAAAAAATTAGGTTAATAAAAAAGGTAGGAACTAATCTGGAAGAAAAACTGTTTTTGGGTTTTATGAAGGATGACTAGCTGTTTTCTATCTTCAGAGAACAGTTAACAAAGATAGTCAAATTATAGGAAAGACATTCAGTTAGATCAGGGGTCCGCATACTTTTTAGTTCCAGGGTAACTGATAGAACTAAGCAATGAAATAAGAGTCAGTAGGAAACCAGGGCAGGAGAGGAGGAAGGCAGATCATGGGAAACAATGGAATACAAGGTGCGCAATACACACAGGCAAATGCCCCCACGGTGCTGGCTTCTCCACAGCGCAGAACCTCTACTCTAAAATGCTGATGTGGCATGGATGATATAATATTACCAAGAAAAGCTTATAGACTCTTCTTCTTCTGAGCCATTACAAAGAAATCTTTCATTATTAAAGCATTCACTTTCCCAAAGGTAGATGCCTTTTAAATACCTCATACTTCTCCCATAAAATTTTCTTTACATTTTCTTTTTTACCCCAAGTTATTTGGTAGTTTATACAGCAAGGAGATGGAAAACACATGGGCAGATTTTAGAAATTTTAACTCAACAAAATATACATCTTATACATCTCAAGGCAAAATGGCAAGCTCTAGTAAGTTAATTTTTTGTGTTGAACTAAAATTGTTAGAATGATCTTTGTTCAGTGGTTTAATTTTTTCTGTAATATTTATACATCTTATTGGAAAAAATTATGAAACTTCACAATAATTTAAGACCATTTCTTTTTCCCACAATGTACTCACTTTAGATTCCTTTTTGTGTCCTCCTGCCAATAACTTCATAACCACAAAGTTGGGTTTGGCAACCTTTAAAATTCTATTAACCTGAAACACAAACATAAAACTATTGAAACATAAACTTCATAGTCAAAATTTCTTTCCTTTTCTGTTGAGACAGAGTCCTGCTGTCACCCAGGATGGAGTATAGTGGTATGCATATGGCTCACTGAAGCCTCAACCTCCTGGCTAAAGCAGTCCTCCCACTTTGGCCTCCCAAGTGGCTAGGACTAGATTTGTGCACCAGCACACCCAGCTCATTTTAAAATTTCTGTAGAGACAGGATCTCCCTATGTTGCCCAGGCTGATCTTGAAATCCTGGGTTCAAGCAGTCCTCCCTCCCTCCCACCTTGGCCTCCCAAAGTGCTGGTATTATAGGCAGGAGCCACTGTGGGCAGCCAACATTTCTTAATTATAGACAATAATAGGAACTTTGTAAATAGAAGTGTTGATGTTTTATTAAATAAAGACAATTTAAAATTATAATATTTCTTTTAATATAGAACTCCATTTCAATTAACTCTGAATTAAAAGGGCTACCTTATCTTGCATTCCTGAATAACAACAACAACAACAAAAAATTAGGCTGCAAAGTCCTGAAACGGCAGCACAGTATTTGGAGCACAGACTCATCTTGGAATAAATGAATGAAGTTTCACTAAATGAAATATGCCATGTATCATAGGTATCTCCTCAAATTTTTACACCCCCCTTTATATTTTCTTAGATGGTATACACGATTTTTAAAAAAGTATCTTCCCTATCCCCTCTTGCAAGGCACGCTGTGCTTCCCTCCAATACCAATTCTGATATATCATTCTAAAGATATTTTCTATTCATATATATACATATAGGCTTCCTTGCCCCCTTTGACTGAAACTGCACCATACTATGCAAATTATTTAAATTGCACCTTTCTTTTTAGGCTTCTTAAATCATAAAGAGCACTCCATCACAGAAAGATCTTCCTTGTCCTTTTCAAGGCTGCATAGTATTGCATCATATGAATATATCATAATTTATTAGTCCCCTATTGATAGATACTACTGTTTCTTCCAATTTTTTGCTATTAGAAATCCTGCTGCAATAAGTATTCTTATATTCATCACTTTCACTTCCTATATGTGTTCATGTATCTATATAAGATAAATCCCAAAAAGCACAATTGCTAGATCTAAGCATTTATGATTTTTTGATAAATACCGCTAAGCTACCCATCTATGGAAGTTGTCTCAAGATACACTTCCCAAAACAGTATGTACATGTTACAGGTAACTTTTAGAAAATAAATGTATTTCAATAAAGTTAGGGATATGGTAAATTATTAAAATACCAAAAGCCTGAAAAAATTTTTCTCCAAGTTTATTTTGATATCTCAGTCTTCAAAAGCAATAACCTTTCTTTTAAATGGTCAAGTGAAATAAGGTTGTTCCTGTAACAACTGGCCAGATCATTTTTAATATTTATGTAAGACACATTTTTTTTGAGAAAGAGTTTCACTCTAGTCACCTAGGCTGGAGGGCAACGGTGCAATCTCAGCTCACTGCCACCTCCCGGGTTTGAGAAATTCTCCTGCCTCAGCCTCCTCAGTAGCTAGGATTACAGGCATGCACCACCATGCCTGGCTAATTTGTATTTTTAGTAGAGACAGAGTTTAACCATGTTGGCCAGGCTGGTGTCAAAGTCCTGACCTCAGATGACTCCTGCCTCGGCCTCCCAAAGTGCTGAGATTACAGGTATGAGTCACTGCGCTCAGCCCCTTTGACTACTGATTAAAACAGAAATGTTTCAATGCTAACATTTTGAGCTATGAATCAGATCAGTCTGGATCTTATGTTTATCCTTCTTACTTTATGGTTGTGAGTCTTAATTTGTCTTTGCATTGACTTCTGAATTTACACAAAGTAGGTATTTACATCACCTCATTCTTGTCTGAAAAGGTTAGTTTGACAAAACTATCTGAAATCCTTCGCAGAAACATGACAAGCTCCATTCACTAATACTATAAAGTTCACTTTCATAATTAACTTTCATCCAGCTGTCAGAGATGTATTTCCTGCTACACTTTTCCCCTAGAGTTACTGTGAATCCAGTCTCACCTCATGGTCCGGGTTAGGAATATTTTCCAATATCATTTTTGCCTGCTGAAAGTGTTTACTAGCTGCCACATACAGTTCAGGAGACTGAGGAGGAGGGCTATATTTATTGAGGTCAGACATTTCCTAAAAAGAAGGAGAAATATAATTCAAAACACATTTAATATGAACAACTCTAAAATCCCATTTCTAATTATTAAAGAATTCTACATTTTCTATTCACCATGTACAGACACTGGGGCAAACATTCAGCATATCTCCCTAGTTTTAACTAGGTAATATATAATTCTCAACCCTCATATACTACCTCATATTACTCTTATAATTTAAATAATTACTAATGTAACAAGATAGGTACACAACAGCATCTCTCTAAGAAGGTCTAAGGCTAAAAATTTCATGACAATTTCACTAAGCAGGTTCACCTTGAACTGTAAGTAGTGCACTGGCGGTGGGGTCATCACACTGTTGAATGGAGCAAACCTGTGCTCATACCGAACTTGTTCACTATCAAGCTCAAACTTCGGTTTACGTACTTTGCCATCCATGTCAAATGCTACCATGGTCTAAAGGAAAAAGGACAAGAAAAAACATGACATCAATATGAAAAAGTGAACACTCTCATCAATACAGAATAGAAAACAAACAGCTATTTAAAACCTTCAAGTAAATGCTTCTGAAGAAATTAGGACATAAAATTTTCATAGTCACAGGTCCTATTTTCAAACAGAAGTCCATGTTCTGCTTTATGCATTTTAATGTAAGTTGCCTCAAATAATTTCTTGGACTGCCAAGTACAACTTAATAGTTAGTATCCATTACCTCTTGAAAAGGCCTGCTTTTGCTTAAGCCATTCGTTGTGAAGCTCACCCTCTTCCTCATACACTCCCCTAAAAAACCTAAACTCCATCTTTTCCAGGAAGCCTTGCCTGATCATCAATTAGAAGTACTCTCTTCCTTTTCATACTACCTTTCACAGATACATCAACAGGCCTGTCACTTGAAGCAAGGACCATATAGAATTGGTATCTCCTGCAATGTACCCAGTACAAAGTATCTCACACACAGCAAGGGCTCAAATAGTTGTTGAATAAATTAATGATAACAAAGGTAATCTTCAAGCAGACAGGAAGTAAAGCAAAGGTGAAATTAGAATCTGGAAAGAATCACAGAAGAGAGTTCATTTTAAATAAACCATATAATAGGAATACAGCTAAAAGGCAAAAAGAACTTCACTTTCAACAACTTACTTTAAACATTCCAGCACACATGTTCTGATATGCTTGACTCATTGTGATCTCTCGGCTCAATGGGCGAACTGTAATTAGAAAGAAAACTTCCATAATCTTTTCCTCCTCCCTCTTGCATTATTGCAAAGAGAATCTAATTTTTAAAAATCTTCCAGCTTGTATTCTCAATTAAACTTCAGTTTGTTCATACAGGCTAAATTTTACTTATGGTCAAAACCTACAAATAAAAAAATATAGTAATCATGCCCCAAATAGCTAACACTATAAAATTCTAGCATGAAGTAATTATAACTTTTCTGAATTCACCCCCACAGAGACTTAACCTCTTATATGGAAACCCAGGACTACAGTGATTTAATGACCCACCCAAACTGCTTTAAGTCCTAAGGAAAAAATATAAAGTCCTATTTTATAATAATTGTAGTAATATCCGTAGCCTTCCTTAAGTGATCAATAGGGCAGTCCCTTTGAAACAGTTCTCTTTTCTCATGGTTCTTGGATGATGCCTCAGGGTGTTCTGTGACCACCTTTCAGTGCCCACTCCCACAGCACAGCTCCAGAACTACTTCCCTCCTGAGCTATCAGGCTCTGTCAAAAGGTCAATGGGCTCCTGCTGTCTTGTTCCCTGTATCTTACTTGCACACTCCACATGGCTACTTCTTGATCAATGATCCTCTGATAATACAAAGAATAGCAAAGAAATGAAAGCAAGGAAAGGAACCAAAAAGCTTATATCATTAATACTGGGACTCAGTCTCCACCTTACAGTTTCTGAAGAGGAACAAGAACTAAAATATAATGACTAACTCAGGAAGTAGCTCTCCATCTATTTATTTATAAAAATTAAAGTGCACTCTATTCTTAAATTTAAAAATAATCCACAGCACCTTTCTTTTTTTTCTTTGTTTTTTTACTACTACGGCCTTTCTGCTGCTCTTCCATTATCCTCTCCTCTGCCATTTGAGAGCCATCGGCACGACTCAGTGTTGACATCAACCATGCATAAAGGAATTCAGAGAGATACCTTACAGGATACAAAATGTTAGTTAATGGTAGATGTCTAAATGAGACAGCTTCATCGACATGTATATTAACAATAATAGATATTTCAAATAATGCTTTAGGTCTTTAAAAACAGATCATTCGATTAGATAGATTAGATCTTACAAGAAATAAACATAAGGATTAATTTTCCCTTTGTACATTTTACAACTTTCCAGAAGATTTCTTGATAATTATACATGTACATAAGCAAATCAAATAAACGCCCATTAAGTTTTTATTACATCAGAGCACATTCAGTTTGGTCTATAAATGTTTTAATCACAAAGCAAGCAAATAAAGTCAAAGATAAACAATTATTGGCATTATATAAAATCATTCTTAAAAATTAAGAACACTCACATTTACGATTTACTTGAGTTTATTTAATAAATAAAATATAAAACAGAACATTCCACCAGACACTAATTTTTCAGAACTTTAATTAACACTGCTAAGGCAGAAAAGTATTCAAATCTAGGAGATACACACACACACACACACACACACACACACACACACACTTTATAACAATAACAAATAAGAAAGCCTATAATTTCACATGGAGAGCAAATAATTCCTGGCCCTGAATTTAACATTTATTATAGTACCCTTTTATAGCATGTAACTGAATTCTGTTTCCCTGCCACCCTACAAAATTTGAGAGTACCTAACAACCCATATATCATAATTCAAGTGAAGGATTTCTACAGAGAACTGATGGTGCTGTCTACCTTCTGTTTAGCTAACCTAAGGAAACATGAGTGAAAGGGACAACTAAGATGCAGGCTTTCCCTCTCAAATATCAGGTACCTCAATGATCTTTTAAGTGCTTTATAAAAATTAATATACATTTATGTCTAAGGAGAGAGTGCTGATATACCAAGGTTCTCAAATTGTCATCTCTGGGCCAGCAGCAGTTCACCTGAGAACCAGTTAGAAATGCAAATTATTTGGTCTCACCCTAGACCTAACAGCTCAGAAATTCTAGGAACTTAGTCCAGAAATTTGTGTATTAATGCATTTTCCAAGAGAACATGATGCATGTTAAAATTTAAGAATCACTGTTTTGTTTTGGCCGGGCGCGGTGGCTCAAGCCTGTAATCCCAGCTACTTAGGAGGCTGAGGCAGGAGAATTGCCTGAACCCAGGAGGTGGAGGTTGCGGTGAGCCGAGATCACGCCATTGTACTCCAGCCTGGGTAATAAGAGCGAAACTCCGTCTCCAAAAAAAAAAGAATCACTGATTTGCTGATGATTTAAAAAAAAAGTCCACATGCTTCAGGGATCCTATGAATGAAAAACAACTAAAGATATCTTGGGGAAATGCAGGAGCCCAGTCTGTAATTTTGAAATTAATAGCAGTTCAAAATAAGTATGAAAAGACCACAAGGGTTATTTATGGGTAAGTTTCGTTAACAAGAAAAGAAATGAATCTGCTTATGTATGTAGACAAATGTGTAATGGAGTATTTATCTGAATTATCATTCTTTTGCTGAATTAAGATCCCAATAATCTATGTACAAAAGCATATAAAAATTATATTTTGATCTGAGAAATCAAGAACAAAAGGTTCCATTAGCTGCTTCAAAGCACAAAAGAAAAAACCTGGGCATGTTCCCCTATAAAAAGGAACAAAAGTAGACAGGTGCAGTGGTGCACATCGGTAGTCTCATCTACTTGAGGGGCTGAGGTGGGAAGACTGACAACCTAGGCATTCAAAACCAACCTGGGCAATATGGCAAGACCCCATCTCAAAAATACAGAAATGAAAACAAAACCAGAATTGTCTACTATGGATTAATAACAATATGTAGTATCCAAAGTAGCTATATAAATACCTGTTATTAAGGATTACTTAATATTATCTATATAAATGTTGAAGAATATATAGAAAGGAAAATTATTCTCATATTACTAAGTTGATGCTCAAATTCAGTTTTCATAGCCAAACATTATCTGTTAAGAGCCCTCACTTCTCATAACAAAATCTATGTCAACAGCATGGAAGAGAATTACTTCCCCTCCCATAGCAGTGACTTCAGAAAATACAGAATATCTTAATGACTAAGTTCTATAAATTTAAATGTTTAAAAGGTGAACTCTATTAAAGCCTAATATGCTAAATCTGAGTGTTTGTGATGAGTAACATAGGTCATCAGTTTAAAATAATGTGCCAGACAGAAAAAGATTCAAAATAACTGAATTCATTAATGCTCAATCTTATTTTCTTTCTATGACAGCTTTTACATGCCTAAAATATGCTCAAACATCCTGTTACTAGGTTTATTTTGTCCTCAAGTGAAAGGGAAGAACTGAACTATTCTGCTGAAGATTATCAACTCCAAAGCTCCTGAAGTGACTCCTCAGCACCACAGTATGAAACAATTATGCTCCCAGTCATCATGTTAGTCCTGATTTCTTCCGAGAGACAGACATAATTCCAATTTGATGTTTAACTCTGTCAGGTACATCCACAGCTAGCACCGCAAAATGTTAATTTTTCGCCATAGGAGCAAATAAGTGATCTTTAATTAATCCCTTTACTTTGGAGCCATTTTTGTAATTTTTACATAAATATTTGGAAAAATATGCTCATTATAGCACTTAAAGATATTCAAGATGATACAGCTCTAATTTTCAAATTTTTCCAATTGTCCCACAACTAAAGTTAAAATATACTAAATAAAAAAGTATCCTAAAATTAACTCTAAATTTTCTCAGAACTTATCCATTTTAACCGCCACCAGTTTTAACTCAAATTGTGCTCTTACCAATATATGTAATAGTACTCGTGCATACTGTAGAGTTCCAATTCAAAGCCGCTTAGAAGATACTGTATCATAATGCGAAGGTTATGGTAAAGGACCCAGGTACCTAAACAGGCCAAATGTTGCCTTTGGGGTTCCTGTTTCAACAGCATGGTGTGAAGCGCTGCATCAACCTTCTCTGCCTATTAAAATACAATGTCATAAACTGTGTTCACTTTGTTTTCTTAAGGTAATGAGAGAACTTTAAAAAACATACAGCTAAAAAGAATACGAGCAGAAAATTTAAATCTGACCCCCCAAAGAAACATTTTCAAATGCATTTTTAGTTAGGTTTACATTCAAAGTTCTCATTTCACAATGATTAACATTTACCTCAACATGCCTTAAACTAAAACTACAACAAATTTACAGGGCAAAAATGCAAATAATACACTTCAGGTCCTTACTCATCAATATTGCTGCTGCACACACATTAATTTTAAAATTAATATATTAATATTTTTCTTGATGTAAGCTTGTTATGAAACTTTTACACATATTTCATAATTTATTCTGATTATCGAAGAAATATTTAAGATGTCTATCAGTTTGGATTACTGTTCTGTTTCATTTTGTAAATTTTGGTGTAAGAAACTTATATTTTAAGTGAAAAGTGCATCATGTTGAAAAATTAAATAGTCAAAATATTGTTCTGAAGAATTGTTCTTAGAAATCTGTACAAAGTGTGTGAATTAGTTAATTTCAGAAGAGAGGGGAACTTGGCTCTTACCTCATCCTGCAAGGTAGCGAATTCCTCAAGAATATGACCAAGCTTATCTCTCTGTCGAGCCCTGTTATGTCCATGGATCTGAATAAGACTACAGAATGGCTGCAATATACATATAATTTGTCAACCATAAATATGAAATTTCCTGGTACTAAAGAAACATAAAATTCCAAGTTCACAATCTGGTTTAAGGGGGAAAAATGCTGTGTATGTAAGAATTATGTCTATGTATATTTTTAATTTTACACAGGTGTTTAAGAAACTCAACACCAAAAAATCAAAATAAAAAAAAAACCACCAGAATTTATCAATAACTGGAAAAAAATATAGCTTCATGTGAAATTTGTTTTCATATGGCAAAAACACCTTCCTCCAACCTCTAGATATCTTCTTGCAATTTCACAAGGACAATTTCTTTCCTGCTTATTTTGAGTCAAAAGCCAATGTTCAAGGCTGACATTCCTATGCTGCTATAAATGTACCAGAATGCCTAATAATTATATAGCTTAAGAAGAGCTAATAGCCATAAACCCTCACTAAGGTTCTTTATTCCTGCTTTCTCCATACAGTATTCTCATCTAAAATACTATGTAACATTCCACTAACCAGGCAAGAGACATGGATTAGTAAGATGCTTTAAGTGTGAATTAGAAGATTCTCAAAGTATAATATTGTTTTATATTTACATACTTAAGAGAGATACTATCTCATTTGACCATTAACTACCCTGTAAGAGGTCAGAGAAGATATAAGAATTTTACTCTCTAAAGAGTGGGAAAAAAGAGATATGCCTGATAAAATATTAACAACAATGAAATGAAGTCTGATCTTCTATTGTTTCTTTCTCTGTTTCCCATACCATGCTGCCTTTCTATATATATATTTAGTAACTGGAATTAGGCCCAAAAAGAACTGCCTGTTGGAGTTCTCTAAAATAAATGTTCCATCTAATTAAATAAAAATGAGGCTGGGTGTGGTGGCTCATGCCTGTAATCCCAGTGCTTTGGGAAGCCAAGGCAGACATCACTTGAGCTTAGGAGTTCAAGACAGGCCTGGCCAACAGGGTGAAGCCCTGTCTCCAGAAAAAAAAAAATTAGCCAGTTGTGGTGGCATGAGCCTGTAGACTCAGCTACTCTAGATGCTGAGGTGAGAGGATCTCCTGAGCCCAGTGGGTAGAAGTTGCAGTGAGCCAGGATCACGCTACTTCACTCCAGCCTAGGCAAGAGGGAGACCCTGTCTCTAAACAAACAATAAAAATAATTAAAAATAAATTATAATTCAACTCACTACAAGGTTTGCATTGTTTCCTAATTACTTCATACAGAAAAAAGTTTGTGATCTCATTTAAATTTATATATATTGTACTTTTTTTTTTTTTAAGACAAGAGTTTCACTCTTATAGCCCAGGCTGGGGTGCAGTGACGTTACCTTGGTTCACTGGAATCTCTACCTCCTGGGCTCAAGCGATCCTCCCACCTCAGCATCTGGAGTAGCTGGGACTATAGGCTCACACCACCACACCTGGCTTTTTTGTGTGTTTTTTTGTGGAGACAGGGTTTCACCCTGTTGACCAGGCTGGTCTCAGCTCCTGACCTCAGGTGATCCACCCGCCTCAGCCTCCCAAAGTGCTGGAATTATAGGCGTGAGCCACGGCACCCGACCAGTAATTTCATTATATTTCAGTTCATTAAGAATAATATGAAGTATATAAGGATATTAAAAATACTCTTTGTTCGTAAGGTTAAAAAAAGTAAGTTTTTATGGCCATTCACAAAAAATTTTGAGGAAGCAACTGCTGTTTTCCCAGTTGAGTCATAACATTCCCTATCTGTAGTCCCTGCAGGCTGCAGTGGGAGGTCATCCAAGGCTGCCTCTGTAGCTTAATAACCTATCAGAAGACCTTAGGTTATAAAACCATCTACCCAAGTGTTAGGAGGAGACAGTTTTTATTTATTCACTGTAAAAAAGAAATAGCAGAAGATAAAAAAGCATAAAGATACTAACAGAATTACAGCCAAGCTTTTTTTTTTTTGGAGACAAAGTCTCACTCTGTCACCGAGGCTGCAGTGCAGTGACACGATCTTGGCTCACTGAAACCTCCACCTCCTGGGTTCAAGTGATTCTCCTGCCTCAGCCTCCTCAGTAGCTGGGACTACAGATGTGCACCACCATGCCTCACTAATATTTGTGATTTTAGTAAAGATGGGGTTTCCCTATGTTGGCCAGACTAGTCTTAAACTCCTAACCTCTGGTGATCCACTTGCCTCAGCCTCCCAAAGTGCTGGGATTAAAAGCATGAGCCACTGCACCTGGCCACAGTCTACCATTTTTAAAGTACCCATTACAACAATCAAAATTGTAGCTCTTACCCGAACACAGTGAGTAACAAAGCAGTCAATACAGTCCTTTGCCTGGTGATTATTATACAGGTAGCACCTGCAAGATAAAATTCCTATCATTAAAATCAATCTATTCAGCCCAAACAAAAGCAGCAATTACTGCAGATGCTACCAAATAACAGAGAAGGTGAATAAAGAAAATGAAACTGATTCCTAAAGAATGTTAGTATTAGATTAAGAAACATTTTACAATTATGTAAGTCACACAATAAATCTGTGATATATCCAATTCCTACAGATCTGTATTTGAACAATTACAGTTGGATCCAATAAGACCAAATTAACAAGGAGAAAAGGAAAAGTCCAAAGCCCCACTTTTTCATGACACTACTTCAGCGTCATATACTTTCCTACAACTGATATCCTCATGGACTGTGCTTACAATAGTGAAGAAAATACTATACAGGATCCTAATTTTTTCTGTACCCGCACTTCTTGCCATTGGCTATAAATCACCTATACATCCCTTTGGCACTTCATCTCTTCTCACAAAGTGGTTTCCTTTGGTCTTCCTCATCTCTGATAAACAGAGCCATGGTCACACAATGGAAAATATAGTGCACCCAGCACCCATGAGAAAGAAAAAGGTGAACACTTGGAACAGGCAGTTGGTGAAATGGGAAGAGCTGAAAGTTCATTACATCTTTAACCCTAAAGCAAGAAAATTACTTGAGATTAAAATAAAGCACTTTTCAAAAAGCCTCTCTCGATCTAAAAATGATTATTTTCAAATTTAAAAATTAAGAAGTATGTTCATTAGTAGCCTTGAATATAAAGACAAAGAACTTTCTCACAACACAACAAAAATGACAAGGAGATGAATGTCATGAGGCATAGGTAAGGGAGATCTAGAAGACCTAGTTAGTATGCTAGGAACTCTAAAAAAGGAAAAAACAAAACAGATGAAGGTGAAGCAGTAAGTAAGTAATAACAGGGAAAAATAATCTGACTGAAAACTTGAGTCTTTAATGACCGAGTTCCAGATAGGACTAGCTGAAAATCACACATGAATATTCTGGTAAAAATTCTGAACTCCTAAAATAAAGAGAACCTCATCAATGCTCCAGAAGAAAGTTTCAAATCACTTACAAAGGAAGAGTGAATCATCATCTGTAACACTGAAATTTTTAAAACAGTGGAACTATAGACTACCATATAATAAACTTTTCCATATATACAGTCAATTATTATCATTTGTGGTAGTTCCATAAAGTTTCTGAAGTTACAAAATTAGACTATTAAATCATTGCTAATAGGGGAAATAAAGGGTTAGATTCCTATGAGTCTCTGGTCACAACATTTCCATGAACTAATCAATGCATAACCTTGTTTTATGTGTATTTCTGTTTAAGACATCTTAATTTAATGGATTAAAATTCTGTTGATTTATTAACATCAAACTCATGGCCCAATAGCATATACCAAATATGAACAGGCTGAATTCTGCTTTCAAAAGATTTGAACTAACAAAAATTACTCCACCACGTAAAAGAAACACATTAGGCTGGTGCAATAGCTCATGCCTCCTATAATCCCAGCACTTTGGAAGGCCAAGGTGGGTAGATCACTTGGGGGTCAGGTTACCAGCCTGGCCAACATGTGAAACCCCATCTCTAATAAAAATATAAAAATTAGCTGGGCATGGTGACATGTGTCCATGATCTCAGCTACTTAGGGGGCTGATACCAGAGAATTGCTTGAACTTGGGAGGCAGAGGTTGCAGTGAGCTGAGATGATGCCACTGCACTCCAGCCTGGGTGACATTATGTACATGCAAATATTTCAAAATTCAAAAACATCAAAAATCTAAAATACCTCTGGTCCAAAGCATTTTGGATAAGAGTTACTCAACATTTATCACTAAATATTTGAAGCCATTAAAAAGAATGAGATCTACCATCAAGTAACTTGTGACAGAAAGCCATAGTATCTTTCAGTGAAAAAAGATACACTTTGTTAACTGTATCTTTTTTTTTTTTTTAACAAAGTGTAAGAGCTTTGTTAAGAAATAATGACTCCTTTATTCCCTTCCCCACTGGAAAAGCCTGAAATTTCTCAGAATGCCAACTCAAATGATTCTTTCTGCATGCAATCCTTTTCAGCCTCTGATGGCAGCATTTTTTCAGGGCAGTGCCTCTAATAGGGCAAAGTTTAAGGACTTACACTGGAGACAAAAAAACTTGGAGGAGTTATCAGAAATGTCAACCTTATTAAAAACTTAGTTTAAATCGTAAATAATGTGGCAGAGATCAATTAACACGATTAAGTTACTTTTATGTGGAGATTTGATCCTAAACAATTTTGATACCTAGGCTATAAAGAAGGAGTAGAGAGAAGTTGGGCTTTTAAGGGAGCACATACAACTATAAAATGTCTTATAAAACTATAAAACTTACTTGGGAGAAAGCACCGGAGGACTGACAAAAGACCGAAGTGCATCTTTCACCATGTCTTGCATGAGATGAGTTCCAAAGACCTTTTTGTTATCCACCAGGAAAGTGGTCTTAAAATAAATGTTACATATTAGTAATGGTGTCACAAAGAGTTGTCATTACTGTGAAATGAGTATACTCTTATAAATACTACAGACTACGTGAGTGAATAAAATATAGAAAATTGGTGAAAATTTTTTGTAAATTGCTGTCTCCACAATGAGTGTTACTACTTATTAATCCTTACTGAAGGTATATTCTGATGTAGAACAAAAAATGTACAGAAATAAAAATCTCCCAAGCCAAGAGTACTAATATTAAAGTGGTCAAAATAAACTGACCAATCTGATTATGTCAAATGAGCTAATGTATTAAAAAATGCTTCACAAACTATGAAATATTAAATGGCTATGTCATTTGATTAATCCTACATTTATCTCTAATGAATGTTTTATAACACATGCAAATATTTTAAATGTTTTTTCATGCTTATTTCTGAACATAAAAAATATTTAATTTGCATTTAATAATTTGTTTTAATTTCCTTCCCTTAATCCCACTGTATCTTTGTATTTAATATACCATACCTTGATTTCCTAATATTGTTTTTAAATTTTATTTTAAAATTTACATATGGCCGGGCACAGTGGCTCATGCCTGTAATCCCAGCACTCTGGGAGGCTGAGGCGGGTGAATCACAAGGTCAGGAGTTTCAGACCAGCCTGACCAACATGGTGAAACCCCATCTCTACTAAAAATCAAAAATTAGTCAGGCGTGGTAGTGTCTCTAATAGGGCAAAGTTTAAGGGCTTATACTGGAGATTAAAAAAAACTTAGAAGAGTTATCAGAAATGTTGTCAACCTCATAAAAACCTTAGTTTTAATCTAAACAATGTGGCAGAGACCAGTTAACACAATTAAGTTACTTTTACATGGAGATTTGATCCCAAATAATTTTGATACTTTTGCTATAAAGGAGTAGAGAGAAGTAATCCCAGCTACTCGGGAGGCTGAGGCAGGAGAATCACTTGAACCCAGGAGGCGAAGGCTGCGCTGAGCCGAGATCATGCCACTGCACTCCAACCTGGGCAACAGAGTGAGACTCCGTCTCAAAAAAAAAAAAAAAAAAAATTTACATATGGTAAAATTTACATTTTTGTTGTGCAGTTCTATAAGTCTAACACATGCATAATTTTTAAAATCAGTCTCACAATCAAGATACAGAATGACTTGTATCACCCCAAAAACATTCCCTCATGTGATCCCTTTGTGGTCAAACCCTTCTCTCACCTCAAATCCCTGGCAACCACTGATCTGCTGCTCTCCAACTCTATCATTTTGCCATTTCTGGAATGTTATTAAAATGAAAACGTATAGTCTTTTGAGTTTGTCTTCTTCCACCCAACATAATGCAGTTGAGATTCACTGGCATTGTTAAGTATATCATACTTCATTTTCTTTTTATTTCTGAGTAGTATTCCACTGTGCATGTACCACAGTATGTTTATCCATTTACCAGCTAAAGAACATTCAGGTTGACTCGGTTTTTGGTGATCATGAACAAAACAGCTCTACACATTTACAGAGGTTTCTAGAAGAATGTCAAATTTCACTTCTCTTAGGCAATCAACTAGAAGTGTGATCTACATGTTTAATTAATAAGAATGTGCCACACTATTTTTTAAAGTAGCTGAACCACATTACACTCCTATCACCAATACATCTTCATCACCACTTGGTATTATCAGATATTTTTTTAAAGATAAGTCTGGGTCGGGCGCAGTGGCTCACGCCTATAATCCCAGCACTTTGGGAGGCCGAGGCGGGCGGATCATGAGGTCAAGAGATCGAGACCATCCTGGTCAACAAGGTGAAACCCTGTCTCTACTAAAAATACAAAAATTAGCTGGGGATGGTGGTGCATGCCTGTAGTCCCAGCTACTTAGGAGGCTGAGGCAGGAGAATTGCTTGAACCCAGGAGGCGGAGGTTGCAGTGAGCCGAGATCGTGGCATTGCACTCCAGTCTGGGTAACAACAGCGAAACTCCATCTCAAAAAAAAAAATTAAAAAATAAAATAAAATAAAATAAAAGATAGTCTGAAAGGCGGGTAGTATTTCTGTTGTTTAATTTGCATTTCCTTATTATTAACCATGCTGAATCTGAATATTCAATATACTGAATATTGTTGAATATTAACCATGTTAGATTTGTACCTAAGTATTTCATTTTTTGATGTTATTGTAAATAGTTTTGTTTTTAAAATTTTGATCTCCCACTGTTCAAGTATATAGAATTACAACTGCTTTTTGTATAATCCCTTCATATTCTGCAATCTCATTAAATTCACTAATTGGTTCTAGGAATTTCTTCGTAAATTCCATGGGCATTTTACATGGGAAGTCATGTCATCTCTAAACAGACAACACGCTTCTTCCTTTCCAATCTGTATGCCATTTCTTTCATTTTCTTGCTTTATTGCACTGGCTAAAATTTCCAATGTTAATTAAGAGTGAAGTGGGCATCTTTGCTTTCTTCCCATTCTTGGAGGAAATCATTTAGCCTTTCATCATTAAGTATGATGTCAGCTATAGGGTATTTTTGTGTATGTCCTTTATCAGGTTTAGGAAGTTCTACATCTAGTTTTGTTAAGAGTTTCAAATCATGAATAGATGTTGAATTTTGTCAAATTCTTTTGTGTATCTACTAAGACTTTGGATAATACGGTAATTATGCTGACCAATTTTTTTTTCTTTTTTTTTGAGACGGTGTCTTTCTCTGTCACCAGGCTGGAGTGCAGTGGTGCGACCTCAGCTCACTGCAACCTCTGTCTCTCAGGTTCAAGGAATTCTCCTCTGCCTCAGCCTCCCTAGCAGCTGGGACTACAAACATGCGCCACCACATCCAGCTAATTTTTATGTTTTTAGTAGAGACAGGGTTTCACCACGTTGGCCAAGATGGTCTCAATCTCCTCACCTTGTGATCTGTCCACCTCAGCCTCCCAAAGTGCTGGGATTACAGGCATAAGCCACTGCACTCGGCTGATGAACAATTTTCAAATGGGGAAACAGACTTGATTCCTAGGATAAATCTTATTTTGTCCTAGTATACTACCTATTTTTATATATTGTTGAATTTGATTTACTAATACGATATTGAAGATTCTTACATCTGTGTTCATGGAATAAGATTTTTACATCTGTGTTTATAAGGAAACTATATAGTTTTCTATGTTTGTAATGTTGGTTTAGTTTTGATAGAGTAAATTTTGACTTATATAATGAGTGTTCTTGCCTCTTTTATTTTCTAAAAGACACTGCATAGAGCTGGCCTGGAATTTGCACTGTTGTAGGTTTTTAACTATAAGTTCAATTTATTTAACAGATAAGAGATTATTCAAATTATCTGTTTCGTCTTGAGTTTTGATCATTTATGTCTAAATTTCAAGGAATAGGTCAATTTTATTTGCTTTTGCATTTATGAACAGAGCTGTATATAATACTCCCATTACTGTCCTTTTAATGTTTACAGTCTGTAATGATATCCCTTCTTTCATTCTTGGTATTAGTCATTTGTATTTTGCCTCATTAAAGGTTCATCAACTTAATGAATATTTTCAAAGAATGAGCTCTGGGTTGCATTGATTTTCTCCATTGTTTTTCTGTTCTGTATTTTTACTAATTTCTCCTCTTCATTATTTCCTTCCTTCTGCTTGCTTTAATTTGCTCTTCTTTTTCTGGTTTCATATGGTGGTAGCTTAAATTGCTAACTGTAGACTCTTTTTTTTTTTTTTGAGATGGGATCTCATTCTGTTGCCCAAGATGGTGTGCAGTGGTGCAATCATAGCTCACTGCAGCCTGGACTTCCCAGGTTCAAGTGATCCTCCAACCTCAGACTCCTGAGTAGCTGGGACCACAGGAATGCACCACCACACCAAGCTCATTTTTTGTAGAGACTGGGTTTTGCCATGTTGCCTAGGCTGGTCTTGATCTCCTGGACTGGAGCAATCCTCCCACCTCAAGCCTCCCAAGCTGCTGGGATTACAGGTGTGAGCCACCATGTCAGGCATATTTTTCCTTCATATAAACATTTAATGTGGCTTGGCATGGTGGCTCCTGCCTATAATCCAAGCACTTTGGGAGACCGAGATTGATGGATCACCTGAGGTCAGGCATTTGAGACCAGCCTGGCCAACAAAGTGAAACGCTGTCTTTACTAAAAACACAAAAATGAGCCAGGCATGGTGGTGTGCACTTATAATCCCAGCTACCTGGGAGGCTGAGGCACAAGAATCACTTGAACCCAGGACGCAGAGGTTGCAGTGAGCGGAGAGCGTGCCACTGCACTCCAGCCTGGGCAACAGAGTGAGACTCTATCTCAAAACAAAAAAACATTTGATTCTATAAATTTTGCTGTAAGCACTGCTTTAGTTTTATCTCACAGATTTTGGTATGTTATATTTTGACTTTCATTCAGTTCAAAATATTGCTGAACTCCCCTCAAGACTTCTGTCTTTGACTTATACATTACTTAGAGGTTGTTTAACTTCAAAATATTTAGAGATTTTCCTGGATCTCTTTCTCTTGTTGGTTACTGGTTTAATTATAAAACAATTAGAAAGATACTCTGGATGATTTTGATTATTTCTATATTATTGAGGTGTGTTTTATGACCTAGGATATGACCTTATGAATGTTTAATGCTTAAAGTTAATACTTCAATTAAAAAATATACAACACTAACTGGAAAATTCTTTAAAAGCATCTACCTTTTGTTCAATCAATCAATAAAACAATGTCAATATGCATACAATGTTGAAAGAAGTATTTTGATACTAAGTGGAACTTACTTGTAACAGAGATCTTGAAAGAACACATGGTGACTGTTCACTAAATTCACAGAAAAAATCCTAATAGATACATAAAGAAAAAGCAATGTCATTAATAGATTAAATAAAAGCTGAAAATGCTTTACCATATAGAGTATAATTTTTACTAGACCTGGAAATGACATAGTACCAGAGTTAAAATATGACAAATAAAGGTTATTTCTATAGAAATTGTTTAACTGTATAAAAGGGACAATGGGTAATTCTAGACTCAAAAAAAAATACCAACGATAGTTTACTAAGTCATGGTAGAACTTTAGTTCCTATTTCACAGAAATAAATACCAAGTAACCAAGTCAACTGCGTGCACATTACTGACTGTTGCTGACTTTAGGGAAAGACCAAAAGATACAGGTTTCTGAGATTCTTTAAAAAATCCTGCAGCTTGCTGAGAAAAGTCCAAAGGATCACTAACAACGCCTCAGTTACCTACCCTCAGTTAGAACCAATGTAGGTCCCCCTGAGGTACCTGGAATGAGCGATGCTTTCCTCAGAAGGCTCAGTAAAAGTGACTGGCAATAATGGCAGACAACTTAGCCTTCAATATCAGGAGGCTGTCACAACCCAAGTCAGCCCTATTGCTTATTAAAAAAAAATTTTAAAGTCCATTTGCCTACCAATACAACTGGTAAAACAACTATGTATCTCAAGAACATATTACCTTATGGTTGATAAGGGTTTATAGGTTGATTTCACTTAAAGATCTTGCAATTAATCTGGTGAACACAAATACATATCCATGTAACAATTAAGATAAAAAGAGTCAATATGGCAGAAAAGAGTAAGAAAATATCTATTCTCATTCCAGATAAGCTACTATAATCTGGTTACTTTAGAACCTCTGAACCTTAGTTTGTTGTAACTCTGGCTTCCTGTCTATGATCTTTGTCTACTTTTAAAATTCTGATTCTTATGACAAAATAAGAGCAACCTAATAAGAAAATAAATGCAACAGAAGGTAATAAAGGCATAATCAGTGAAAGTTTTACTAAGAAATGAAGACAAGCTAGGTTTTAATGACAAAGAATAGAAGGAAAAATAGAGAATATAAACAAAAGCACAAATATTTACTATCAACTATTTCCCAGAGACTGCTGCTAAGTACTAGGAGTATAAACTATATACTGTGTGATCTCAAAGAGCACAGGTAATGTGGCAACCTGCAACCAAAGGGGAAGATTTCACAGAAGAAATGACATGGGGCTGGCAATTCCATACCTTGGCAAGTAAGGTAACAACACTCAAATGCCTAGCTATGCCACACACGTAGTGTACTTATTCCTAAGAAAACAGTACTCTTGTACATTTTTCTGTGTTCTATGCATTACTATAACTTACCAATTAAAAAGCTTTTCTGCTGTCAGGGGGTACAGGAGAAAAACAAACTTCCAACCCTGAATGTTCTTAAAATGAGCCTTGTTTTTCTATATTTTAACCCATACAAGGATTAATCCAAAATATGATAGTTAAAAATGTGCATATTCTTTTTTTTTTTTTTTTTGAGACGAAGTTTCGCTCCTGTTACCCAGGCTAGAGTGCAATGGCGCGATCTCGGCTCACCGCAACCTCCATCCCCTGGGTTCAGGCAATTCTCCCACCTCAGCCTCCCGAGTAGCTGGGACTACAGGCACGCGCCACCATGCCCAGCTAATTTTTTGTATTTTTAGTAGAGACGGGGTTTCACCATATTGACCAGGATGGTCTCGATCTCTTCACCTCGTGATCCACCCGCCTCGGCCTCCCAAAGTGCTGGGATTACAGGCTTGAGCCACCGCGCCCGGCCAAAAATGTGCATATTCTTTAACCTAGCAGCTTCATTTGTTAGGAATTTATCTTAAGGGGGAAGGAAGCATATAATAAAAAGATTTAATTATAAATATGTTCATCTTAGTATGATTTGTAACATTGAAGATGACCTAAATGTAATTTAATATGAATGAAATGAAAAAAACCTGTTAATATATGCTTATAATGGAATATCACACAGCCATTAAAATAACATAGAATTTGTCATGTATTTATTGACATGAAAAGGAAGATGTCCATGACACAGAAATTATTAATTTTAAAAAGCAGGTAAACACCATGATCCCATTTTTATATATAAAAACATATACATACTTAAATACATATGTATGTATATATGTGCATACCAGTACACACACACACACACACACACACACACACACACACACATTTCTATGTTTTGAAGAGAGAATCCAGAGTTTAATCCCCACTCTTAAAACTTAGGTGAGGCCAGGAGTGCTGGCCCATGCCTGTAATCCTGGCACTTTGGGGGACCAAGATGGAAGGACTGCTTGAGACCAGGAGTTCAAGACCAGCCTGGGCAACATGGTAAGACCTTGTCTGCACAATAAATAAAAATTTAAAAATTGGCTGAGCTCAGTGATTCACACCTGTAATCCCAGCACTTTGGGAGGCTGAAGCAGGCGGACTGCTTGAGCTTAGGCGTTAGAGACCAGCCTGGGCAAAATGGTGAAACCCTGTCTCTACAAAAAAATATAAAAAATTAGCCATGCATGGTGGCACATGCTTGCAGTCCTAGCTACTTAGGAGGCTGACATGGAAGGATAGCTTGAGCCTGGGAGGCAGAGCTTGCAGGGAGCAGAGATCACATTCTGCACTCCAACCTGGGCAACAGGAGACCCCATCTCAAAAAAAAAAAAGGAAAAAATTTAGCCAGGTCTAGTAGCATGTGTCTCTACCAGCTACCTGGGAGGTTGAAGTGGGAGGATCACTTGACCTCAAGAGTTCAAGGCTAGGCAGGGCACAAGGGCTCATACCTGCAATCCCAGCGTTTTGGGAGGCACAGGTGGGAGGATTGCTTGAGCTCAGGAGTTCAAGACCAGCCTGGGTAACATAGTGAGTCCCCATCTCTACAAAAATAATGATTAAACAAAAAAACTGTTGGGTGTGGTGGCACATGCCTGTGGTCCCAGCTTCTTGGGATGCTGAGAGGTGGAAGGACTGCTTGAGCCAGAAAGGTTGAGGCTGTAGTGAGCTGAGATCGTCCTACTGCACTCCAACCTGGGTGATGTATCAAGACCCCCATCTCCACCAAAATAAAAAAAAAAAAGAGTTCAAGGTCGCTTTGAGCCAAGATCATGCCACTGCACTCCAGCCTAGATAACAGAGTGAGATCCTGTCTCAGAACAAACAAATCTTGGATGAATTATCTAACCTTTTTCAACTTGAGCTTCTTAATCACTAAAACAGTATGAGAGCTTTTGAGGATTAAATAGATGGTATGCATGTGTAATATTTATGAACCACTTAATCCTCTAGCTATCACAGAAAATAGACAAAGAGCAATATTTACCCTTGATCAGTGTCTATAAAGTGATCAATATTCTGTGATCAAACCAAAGTTACCCCATAAATATGTAAAATTACTATGTATCAATTTTTTTTTAAATGGAAGTTATATTCTGGAACAGAGATTTGTACTTACCAGGATACAATGTAAATTTGTTAAATTCACAACCTCACACACAGTTTTTATTCTATCTATTAATCTCGCAAAATAGTTGACCATTTCTTCCCTTTTAATTATTTTTGCATATCGAGGGAAGGTAGGTGGAAGTAGCCTCTGGTTCACAAGGGGTTCAAAACCCATCATAATTGGATGATCTGAAAAGAAAACACAAAATAAAAATTTCCAATGTTTCTCTGAATTTTAAACTGTAAATGTTATTAAATATAAAAATGCCAGTTTAAACAGCTTTTTCAAACAAATTCTAACCACAAAATCCTCTAAATATATTTTATAATTTATAATCTATCCATATACACATTTTTTAAAAAACTAAATAAGTAGATTTAATATCTAAAACTGTACTTCCTACCTACATGGTGGTGACAGTGGTGATGGAGGGGAGTTTCTATGTCAAAATGAACTCCGAGAAACCGGATAAAATAGGGTTAGTATATTCTTTCAAAACGGAATGCTAAACTAACCATGAGATTGTAAAGAAAGGTAAAATGGGAACACAAATAATGTAGGCTTCTCTTTCCCCCAATTACTTAACAGTAGAATCCATTCAAAGTTAGCTATAAATTTGAATTTATAGCTACAAATTTAGCTGAGCAGCACAGCTGTCAGCCCTTAGTCTTCAATGAGTTTGAAATGCATTTGCTACAGAGATGTAATTACAGAAATTCACAATCCTTTAAAGACAGTATTATACGACATCTAAGGGTGAGTTCCTCTTTCTTCTTCATCCACTGGTGATCTCACTTTTCACACTAGTGCACAACTCCAAACTAAGTCTTTGTCAACTTGATATCTAAAATGAGGAAGTATATTGCTAAAATGATACACGAATACGAATTTTTTATTCAATGTTCTCCTGCTACTCTATGAACAGGCCACAACCTAAGAAAAAATATGGTTTCAGATGTCAATGAAAGATAAAATTAAAGCTGAATAGGTGTTATTAAAAATTAAAAGCAAGACTGACAACCAAAGAATAACGCACCTGGGATATATAATAATTTTCTTTAGGACCACGCAAATAAAGATGTTCCCAGGGTTCTTGGTCTTTTTCGTCTTCTCCATATTTTCTCCCTAAGTAACTGATTGATGTTACTTACTCTAACATAAATTCCAATTTAAATGATTCCAGACTAAAGACTAAAATCTTTAGCCCACAATCTTTTTTCTTAGTTCTACACCTATGGCTTATAACTGCATAAGGAACATTTCCACCTTGGTATGTCATATCATCTCAAAAGGCAAATGTCCAAAAACTATCTTTGTTTTTCTCCTAACATTGCTTTTCCTCTTATAGTTCTCCTTTCTCAGTAAAATGACTCACTATCCTTACAATTGCTTAAGCCAGAAGCCTTGTCTCTTCTCACTGCCTCACCTACTTAGTAAGTCTGAAAGATTCTAATTCCTAACGAACACTCAATCTGTCCTTCCTCTTCCCTCTTAGTGCCACTCCAACAGTCTAACTGCACTGACTGCTCCCTCATTCAATTAATCCTATATGCTGCCACCTCAACCGTTTTATCTAAAACACAGCCTGATTTCATTCTCTAAATCCAAAAATTTTATTGACTCTGTATTATATATGGTACAGATTCTCTGGCAGAACACTGGAAGGTGCTTTCCAATTTCCTGCTGTTCCTATAGAAAAAAAAAAAACTACTCCAATGGAAAACTACACACATTGTTCAGACTGATTCTATGGGAGCTATTCAGAAATCTATAAATTGTAAGCAAGTGACAAACATGCAATTTCCATCATATCTGGTAGTAATTCCTTGATTTATTTCCCATTCTACCAGGAAAAAACAACTTTGCTACCATCCACAACTTATTTCAACATTCCATTACTTTGTATAAATTTGTGATGTTTAAAGTTTTACATTTGAACTGATATATAACATTTCTTTGAATAAGTTTAGCATTCTTTTTTTGTTCTCCACCACCGCCAGAGACAAGAGTCTCTCTGTCACACAGGCTGGAGTGCAGTGGCGCCATCAAGCAATTCTCCTGCCTTAGCCTCCTGAGCAGCTGAGATTATAGGTGCCCACCATCACACTCAGCTAATTTTTGTATTTTTAGTAGAGACGGGATTTCATCATGTTGGCCAGGCTGGCCTTGAACTCCTGACCTCCAGTAATCAGCCCACTTTGGCCTCTGAAAAGTGCTAGATTACAGGCGTGGGCCATCGCTCCTGGCCACATACATTTTTATATCTGTATGAGAGATTCATGGTTTTACCTTTTTCTGAAAATGATCTTTGAACACTCCTTTATTCCTAAGCACCATCAGCTCTAAGCATGCACAGTGACTCACAAATTTCATGCTCTTTTATGCCTCTTTACTTTTTACACAAACTATTTTCTCTACCTGTAAAACCTATCCCTTATTATTAGGCTGGTAGTTTGGACACAGCTTGAATGCCCTCTCCTCCTCAAATCTCCCCAGTACTTTCTATATATATTACTGCACTATCTATATGGGGTTTTGTCACTTTCCCCTCTCTCTGAGCTGTTTTGAAAGCAGAAACTGGCTTAATTTCCCAAACACCTAAATACCCAGCTCATATGTTTGCTCAGTAACAAGATATGCGACACACTCAGAATAAAATGAAAGGCTATTTCTACTATAACGAAATAGTTTGAACACTTTAGAACTAAAGTAAAAGTAGTAGTATCAATGCTATAAAAAAACTTCTTTGCCATATCAACACAAACATATTTTAGGTTTTAATAAATGCACAGAATTCAGATACTTCAATAGTATATCACCCTTATTTTCCCTGAAAGCATTCTAGCGTGCATCTAAAATTATTTAGGAATATTCTTTTATTCTTAATAGACACATTTTTAGGCCTATGCCACAAGTAGAGAATTAAGTGGATAATAGCAGCCACTCATGAAAATCTCTATTATCATGGAAAGTAACTATTAATTGGAAATGGCCAGCCAATAATATATTTGTACTACCTTCATTTTAATATAATTAAAAAGTGCAAAATAAAACAATATTAATCCTAAAACTAACTCAGCTATCCTGCATACTACAATAGGTGTTCTAGCAGCATACCTGATCTCTCACAAGATGCCATAGCACCCACCTTACTGTGAAAACCAAATATGTATCCAGGCATTGCCAAATATCCCTGGGGGGCCCCAGTTGAGAAATATTGGTCTATACAAATATAATAAGCAATCATAATTCAGTGTGGATACACCCAGGATTTAATAGGAACATCTAACTCATTGAAAAATTAGATGAATAACTTCCTAGAAAAGTCTGAGTTATTCTAAGGACAAAATACCAGTCAGGACAAAGTTTTCCAAGCATATGAAAGGCCTAGAGTGGGAGTCCCCACCCCAGGCCATGGACTAGTAGCTATCTGTAGCCTATCAGTAACCAGGCTACACAGCAGGAGGTTAGCGGTGAGCAAGCAAAGCTGCATCTGTACTTACAGCTGCTCCCCATCACTCCTATTACTGCTGAGCTCCACTTCCTGTCAGATCAGCGGTGGCATTAGATTCTCCCAGCAGTGCAAATCCTATTGTGAGCTGTGCGTACAAAGGATGTAAGTTGCTTGATTCTTATGAGAACCTAATGCCTGATGATCTGTCACTGTCTCCCATCACCACCAGAGAGGGCTGTCTAGTCGCAGGAAACCAAGCTCAGGGCTCCCATTGTTTCTATATTATGGTGAGCTGTGTAATTATTTCATGATATATTACAATGTAATCACAGAAATAAAGTGCACAGTAAATGTAATACAGCTGAATTATCTAGAAACCATCCTCCTCGTGCCCTTGTCCGTAGAAAAATGGTCTTCCACAAAACAGGTCCCTGGTGCCAAAAATGTTGGGGACAGAGAATATGGCTTTTCTTTTTTCCTTAGGGAGTTGCAATTTTCAAAGTCCTAACGTCTCTAAACTCAGGAAGTTTGTGAACCCAGGAGGCGGAGGTTGCAGTGAGCCGAGATCGCGCCATTGTACTCCAGCCTCGGTAACTAGAGCGAAACTCCGTCTCAAAAAAAAAACAAAAAACAAAAAACAAAAAAACAAAAAAACAGAAAAAGCCTATAAATAGACTGGAAACAAAGTTTCTACGATAAACTTAGAAGTTATCTGTATGCTCCTCTCCATTCTCCAAATACACTTAAATTTTTTTTCCTCCACATTTTTTTGTCCATGTTAAAGGTTAATGGACTTGCTAATGGCTATTTTTAAGTCTCAGCTCTTGTTGTATCTCCTGCATAGAAACTCAGTAACCATCCTATACCAGATATCATAAGTTGCTTGACTAGAAAAGAGGGTAAGAACCGAGATACAACAAAAGATCATACCAGTTATTCAGGATATAGACTATGGTTGAGCTGGAGAGGGGCTAAAAGGTAGGCAGAAGACTGCATTTAGTTTCAAGGTAGCAGAAATTATAAAAAGTTAAAAGAAGTTTTATCAAACCCAATTCCTTCCCAGGATAAACTGATTTAACATTTCCCTACTGTACTTTATACCTCCACCACACAATTTCAGACGGTCTTATATTGAAATAACCTGAATAGGCTCTAATGCCCCTTACTAAATGAGCTCAGAAAGAAACATAATTCACAGCACTTCTCCCCTAACATGTGCTTACTCAAGTTTTCCTGAAATGAACTGGATACAAAATAGACAATTTTCAGAGCTTCCTTATTTTACAAGACTATAAGTATACAAAAATAATCCTGGTTTTCCCTGTTAAAATGCTTCATAAATATAATGCCAAGCCAGGCATAGTGGTTCATACCTGTAATCCTAGCACTTTGGGATGCTGAGACAGGAGGAATGCTTGAGGCTATGAATTCAAGACCAAACCTGGCCAACACAGCGAGACCCGTCTCAAAAAAATAAGAAAATTAAAAATAAATAAAATGCTAAAAATCACTCAGTACAAGAGATCCACATAAGATCTTACTATCACTCTCTTAAAATAACAAAGTATAACCGATATTTTCAAAATATCATGATACACGGGTTTAAACTGTTGAGTTACTAAAATTCCTGCCAGGTCACTGGTCTTCATTATTAATAACAGAAAAATATTACCAATAGCATATGGTTATTACATAATTATTTTTTCTTTTTAAAAAACCGATGTATAATAGTTG